TTGGCCGCAATGTCTACACGGCTGCCATGTTTACCGTCATCGAGTCCGGTGCACTTATAGCTAGCTGCACTTTTGTCATGTTCGTTTTGGATGTAGCTGGCAGCCCATCTGGTTTCATGGGATTCAATGTTGCTGTTCAAATTGCTGTAGGTACCTTATGCTTATCTTTTTCTCGTCTCACATTTTCCTAGACCACGACGCCTCTTCTTATCATCACCCGTCTCGGCCTTGGCCTGACTAAGATAGGCACACATTTCGACAAATCGTCAAGTCCTACAGTGACCTTTGCACCAGTCCAGATCGATGTCACCGAAGATACCTGTACCTACCCTATGGCTCCTATGTCACCGTTTGCTACTCGGAAGACTGGGAGTATGCAGTCATTCTACCGTGAAGCGTAGCAACAACAAATGGATACCCTTGTCATCTACGATATAACAGACTGCCGTAGTATAATGTGTGGATCGTCTACATCGGGTGTCGCCCCAAGCAGATGATAAACAGTAGAAAAAATAGTATTGATAACTCACATGGACAATAATTGTAGTTTATTTGGTTTCTCAGACTTGGAGACTTTGTCGGATCATACTATAGCGCTGGCGGCCGCATTGCTTTGCCGTTACGGCCCGTGAGATCGAGACTTCACGGGTATTCTGCAACATGCAACTATCATTAGACTCATTACTTGTGAGATGCTTGCCACCGGTACAAAAGACGTCCTGCTTGTTGGCCTGGGTGCAGTTGGAACGATCTGTAAGTCACGAGCAACTTGAAGCTTAGTCTTCATTCCTCCCAACCATCGATTTGTATATTTCCTGTCCGAGTCGTACGATACAGCAATAGTGCTGGCACTGATCTCACTCTCAGATGCCTACATCCTTCAAAGCAGCAAGCTTGCGCGAGTGACTGCTGTTGCCCGAAGTAACTATGACGTTGTCAATGGTGAACTATCATGTCGTCTCATCGACTTCGAAGCTGATCCGATCGACTCTAGCCAAGGGCATACACATCAGGAGCAAAAAGTATGGTGTTCACGAGAGCTGGAAGCCCTACCGTCGTAAGCAAGACCAATGCATTACCCGCGATGTCCATCACCGTGCATCACAGTGGTATCGTCAGTGGCAGAAGCTGCTGATAGGCCGTATTCCCATGTAATCCTGACAACCAAGGCGATTCCAGAAGTGATCAAGACATCTCGGATCCTAGAACCACTACTTTCTAGTCCGTATAGTGAAAAGTACCCTCAGCCTACTTATGTCTTGCTCCAAAATGGACTTGGAGTGGAGCGAGACTTGTATCATAGCGTCAAGGCCCTCGATCAAGGTGAACCGAAGATCATCAGCAGTGTTGTATGGATTACAACAAATTTGGTGGAAAAGAATGTGGTAGATCACGGCGACTTTGTGAGCAAAGATAGTTCATACGTTGAGTGACCCTTCCGGATTTCTGACGTATGCGGACAGGATCGTATTACCATTGGAATGTACAGACATGGAGACCACCTAACAACTACTAACTCTCCTGAAGAAGGTGCCATTTTGACAGACCTTGGAACCATGTTCGAAACAGGAGGTTCAGAGGTGATCATTGCAACAGAGATTCAGCGCAAGAAATTCCACAAGACGATTTGGAATGTTGCATTCTCCTCCTTCTCGACCCTCACCGGGTCTTCTCCTACAGCAATGTTTCGACCTCCACCTAAAGAGGGCCAATCGTATAGTCCTTACGTGGCACCTCAGACAGCACCCGATATCATCCCTGTCCTACGTGCGATTGTGCAGGAGATGCTTACTCTTGGTGATTTTGAACTGTGTGACCTCTCCGCATGTCTTACCTTTTTCTTAGGGCATGCATTGGGCTACCCAGATACCGAAGATGGTCTACCTTCTTCCCTCGTTGACACTACTCTATTGCGTACTGTAGAGCTACACAAAGACCCTGCCCATACAACTCTCCCGAGCATGCTCCTTGATGCCCAGAATGGGCTGCCTATCGAGGTGGAGGTCATTCTTGGGGAGGTGGTCAGAATGGCCAAGGAAGCGGGGGTAGATGTGCCAGTAAGCAATGATCGCCGTCGCTACTATCATAGCTGATACCTGCCTTGCAGCGTATTGAAACATTATATGCTTTGCTAGCTATCATCCAAAACCAGACTCTTGGTGGATTTAGACAGCCCAAACTCTAGGCACAGCGACCCTTTGATTTAGAATTTCATTCATTTCAATAGTATATTTCGACGGCTTGACCATCGGTTTGTGTGCCACGTTGGGGAGCCTTGGGATCGCCATACGTGTGTCACATTTACATTCCAGACTTATTTTCATCTTACAGGTACCGCAACTCCCGTTTGTCGCGCGTCAGCTGGTCTCAGCTGGTGCATTTCAGCAGCTCTCTCGCCCGAACTCAATACAGTATGCCAAGTGCAAAATAAAATGGTAAATCAAATGGCAACTCAATAACGCGTGTCCGATTGATTTGTTATAAATAAAATGACCAAACAAAATCGTTATTGAGGTGCGTCAGATTCCTGAATCCGCAAGGATTGCTAAAACTGACAGATACCGTGAAATCGGCATGCTCATTTAGATGATTCGAGCACTCCCCCATGCTCACGGGAGAAAAACCATTTTTTCCATAGCCTTGCCCCATATGTTGTCTCTTCGATGCAGGTGACCGGGAAATCACACTGAGCGGTGATTACGCGATTCGACACTAGAATCGCCTGAATGGAGGTATCATACCAAAGTCTATTCGGTGCTGAACCCTAGGAACATCAGAACTGTCGCAAATATAGCTTTGCATAAGAGCGAGTAAGATGTCAGGCCATTATGTCCGTACATTCGGAGTGTGACATTTTTTGTTTCAGTTACGATAAGGGCACAAACACCGTATCTGTCATGGGCCAACGTACGTTCCACGTTCAAACATTCACTGGTGGTCAACTTTGTTGCCCTTTGGGCCTAGCTGACGGACACCACCGTACTTGTACGTATCGTGCTTGTTTAATCTATTGCATACATGTCAAATATAATGCTAGCGTATGCCAACTCACGGTTTACAACATTGTCCGCGGTCAACCTGTTATCAGCACCGCATTGCTGATTATCTTCTTCTCTCCCCATGCGATCTTAGATGAATCCCGTTCGACATTGAGTTTATTTTGAACTCTAGAGAACAATATTAATAATGCTTCACTGCAATCAGAATACGGAACCTGGGCGCAAGGTACTCATGTTTCCGCAGGATTTTGATTGTTCTAAATCGAAATCTAGGTTCTAAAGTCCTCGTACCGTCCGACGTTCCGCCGTCAAACGTCAGCGTTTTCCAAGTCCGCATGTCAGTTCCAAAGTGATATCCAGAAGGGAGGGTAGACCAAACGAGCCTTTCAAACTCCACGAGTGAGCATCGCTTATTGACATTGAAAAGCTAAAGTCCTAGTGCCGACGGTCCCGCCGTCAAACGTCAGTGTTTTGCAAGTCCGCACAACGCACCTCGTTCCAGACTGATATCTAGAAAGGAGTATGCCGGTCCGGCCCTCTTGCAATGTTCTAAACGTCAAATTTGAACCCCGCGACGATATCCAACTGACACCTCGGCCGTTATGAACGATGACGCAGGGATGACAGATATGAAGACCTGCCTCGAGCTCCTGACGTCCTGACAGCATATCTGAAAACCCAGATCATTACTGTGATCCCGAGTTCTAAGTGTCACACAAGTCACATCCAGTATGCTCGTATGCCACTTGTCCTGCCCCCGCCTCGCATCAGCCCAAGGTTATGATCTTCGTTTGAACACTAAATTTCCAAGTTTTTGAGTCTCCATCCTCAAATTGTGCATTCTATCAGCTTCCTATAAATTCGAGGACCTTGTTGGACAGCCTCTTTATGATACCTCCATGTCCGTCCTGCAGGCTCGAGTCATGAACTGAACAATAATGAAGTAAACAGATATTCGGACCAGGGTTAGGGTTGCACCCCGTTACCACACATAGTTCTTCCAACAGAATTCCGACTTCAGGATTACATAAAGGTTCACAGCTGAAAATCGGTTATCGTTCATCGACTGGTTTGGAGTCTGGGGTCGACCTGGGTCGACCTTCGATTGAGCAGTTGCCCCCAAGTAGTATTAGCGATGCATAAGTGAACTGCACCTATGATATGTGCACCATGCACTGTGATCGTATTAGGGTCATTTCCGACATCGTAGGTTCGGGTCACAAAGTCCAGCTAAAGCTAGCACGTCCTTGGCACCTTGTGGCACGCTCACGTGCACAGTGGGGCGAGTGTTTGATCATTTTCCATCATAGAACCCTTATGTAAATGATCTCATCCATCAGATGGCGTTATTTTTAGCCACCTAAGTCGTTACCAATGCTCGAGCCTGTATAGTCAGGTGGGAATAGTCAAATGTAGGACTCGAACAACGTGCCATTCAGCATATAAAAATAATAATCTGATGTGACTCATCTTCTATACAAGATAAGAGAATCAGATAGTACGAGTAATCAATCGTACATCATCGACCTGCGGGCCGCCCGATTACAGCAATCTGATAACTACATAAAACACGGATCAAGAAAATTTCGAGCACGTGGATATGCTTCTAGTGCTGTTGATATGCACACCTTCGAAAGACTAACTTCGTGCAAGGGTACTGATACGGCATACGGTCAAAAAAAACATCCCGACGCATATAAGGTGCTTTTGGAGTTATGACCAGAATGAAGACCAACAGAAGACTTACAAAGCTGTATGATGTCATGGTTTCCATCGCAATATCCTGGGCAGACTTGGTATTAAAAGAGACTGACATTGCATGAATCACGGATATGAGGGTTCTGGCGCAAGTGCACTACTTAGTGTGATTCTAGCTATGCTCCTTCTGTTAACGCCGACGCAGGAAGTCGGCTTGTGTGATCAGCTGAACGGTTAATAAAGATCATGTCCAACTTTGACGTTTCGATGAGTGCGGACCTGACCACACGTCCTGCCAAAAGATTAAATCAATTCAACTTCCATTTGAATGTTGACACATGTGTCCGCCAGACGTGATATATCTCTATGTTACAGATAGGGTATGAGTGCCAAAAAGATGGGACGTGTACATGCACATACAATGTGCATGTCGAAAAACGAAGGGGCTACAGTAAATTGCAATCACTAAGAATGAGCTGTCCTAGCATAATCATCACCTCAATCATCATCTACTTTCTCCATCTTCCTCTCTTTTCTTGATAGTCAATGGCTGCGTACCACACTCCACCAGCGATCGTAAGAAGTATCCCAAGCGCGTTTGTCGGCGTTATTGTAAGCTTGAATAGAACAACCGCACAAAATATGGAGAGTACTTGTTTGACATTGGCTATAGGCTCATCAGTAGTTGCGCTATGGTGTGTGCAACAGTGGTCACTCACCAGCAACAGTCATACTCAGAGGGCCTGCTGCCCTATTTGCCGTAAAACTCACAATATTCAGACCAAACGCAATGAAGCCGTTAAGTCCAAGGAGCGCCGCGTTTCCAGGCGTCATCTCGTACAAACTCCATGTATGCACGCGGGATAATTCTCCCGTAAGGTATGCGAGGAAAACGCACTGGATGAACGCAAGCGGCGCCATCCGCGTCAACAGATCTAGCGGATGCAGTTGTAACCGCGGGGGAATCACAAAATTTACCCGTGGTTGCGGAGAAATCGGTGACGGGGTCGACTGTAGGATAGAAGTGTAGATGGTTTTCATGGCAGCAAGTACTGTTCCCAGTAGGGTCAACAGGAGTCCGCTCGTTGTGTACGAATAGTCTCCATACGTCCTATATGAAAATTAGAAGGAGACGTTCTGAGGCGAGAAACGACTCACGCAAAACAAACGCCGGCCATGACAGGGACCAGTGATATCATCTTGTGATTACTACTCCGGGTACCAAAAAAGAAGATGGAGATAATAATTATGAAAATCGGCGTGGTTGCACGGACTACTTGATGAAACTATGGTACTCATCATCAGCTCCTATCTTACGCGAAGTATGCCGTCACTCACTGGAACGGTGACCAGATGCAGGGATACGTTGCTGACGGCGATGTTAATAGTGTACAGTACACTAAATGCCACAAGCGCCAAGTTGTCTGCGGTGGTGAGCTCAGCGGGCACGAATGTACCATTTTTCAGCAATACGAGCCCTCCGATAGTCCCGCAGAAAGCGTGCAGCGCAGTGAGGGTGTATGGAAAAGGAAAGTGGATGAGGACACCTTTGTTGTACAAGGTAAGTCCGAGGTTGAAGCAAAAGTAAAGAATGAGCCAAAATGCGAGGGAGCGACGTGTAGATTGGGAAGACGATGAGTTTGTTCCAAGGAGTGGGGTATGTTTTTCCGAAGGGTTATCGAGGACGGGTATACGGGTATGAGATGAGACGGCAGGTGGGGGCAGCAGGCTTTGCATGTCGAGGAGTGACGATGGTGACAGAAGTCGACTGTTGCTGCGCGAAAAACGTTGGCGAGATATAAGAGAGCTGTGACGGTTGTGTGGTTTGTGGTCCCTTGAAGCTGATATACCTGCCAACGAGAATTGCAGGGTGTGCCTATATGTGCCCCACACGTCTTCTTTGCTTCCCGAAAGGGATTGCATAGATGACGTTCGAATAGAAGGAGATTGAGGTATGAAACCGGCGCCCTTATGTTGGTACATGCGACCGGACCCTTTTTTCGGAAGATGAGGATTCAAACCTGGGGTTGACAGTGAATCTGGGATCTGTCGAGATGGGATGGCAAGTGACTCATGTCGCCGGTGTAAACGTTCTATAGACAAAGTTGTTGATCTGACAGCGATGGCAGAGTCGCCACGGGCACGCCCCTGCACAATCGTTGGGGAAGCTTGTGTCAGTAGACGGTGTGAACCAGCTTTGTCCAAGCTAGAGATGGGATATTGACTCGATATGGTACTCAAATGTTTATCCTCGTCGACTCTCACGAATTCGAACAAGGACATGCCAGGATGTGAAAACAGATAGTGGAAGTCTCTCTGAGAGAAAGCGTCGCTGAGTGTCGAGATTTGCGTAAAGCTATAACCCTAGGCTATTATTATTTAGGCGCCCAACACGTAACTCACCACAACCAGCACGGGTTGCCCCGAAATCGTGAAGTCATGGAATCGTAACTCACTCTTCACAACGAATATTTCAGTTTCTCACGATTCCAGTCGGCTGAAGATTCAAGTGCTCTCTCACTTGGAGAGTCGGCAAGGAAGGCAACAACACGCCTATCAAGAAAATAATCAAAGTTCTATTGAAAATGAAAGCTAACATTAGACTAGTCCTACTATAAGGGCTTAAGGACCAGAAGCACGTAATAATACTGCGGAGTCCGGTGTCCGCATACATTCGGGTTTAGGTTAACATGGTTTGATTGGCTATCTAAGGTATTTATAAGTCAGGCATGCAAAACATATGACGTGTGACGCGTGACGGCTCGCAGCTGCTAAATGTTCCTGATAGCACTTTGATCGGTCATAGAGAGGAGATTCTCTCGTGTTGAGTTAAACGTCGCGGTCACAAGGAGGTCCAGCTCTGAGTCTACAGGTGTCAGTTGGAAAAAGACCTGGTACGCATAAGGCATATTTGCTCGGCTCCTCGTAGCAACCTTACATGATTATTTTACATTAAAATATTGGCCAGACGACGAAGGAAAATAAACTGAGGAATAATCCCAACTGTCTCTCTTCCCACGATCACGTGTGAGTTGGAATTTCAAGCAACATTTCCTTCACAAGGACTTAGCTAAGCATCATTCCCTTTCGTGCGAGCGCGGAGGCCATCAGGTATCTTGTCTTTCCCGGACTGTCGTGCTTTAACGCAGTTGCCCAGGGTTGCCTTTGACATATCTAACTATGCCGGAACACAGTGGTTTAACTCAGGGTATCAAGCGATCTACATCAGAGGCAGACCCTGCTCAGTCAGCGCCTTCAAACTCCAAAAGACTCAGACTCGATCAGTCACTGGAAACGAGTACGAGACGGGACACAAAGAAACGTAAGAAGAGGAGAAAGAAAGAATCAGTGGTTGTCAAAATGGATCATCATCATATGCAAGACAGTTCGACGTCTCAGCCTCAGCGGCCGCCAGTGTCAGCTCGCAATGAAGTCATTCGATTTACGTCTGCGCCACCGTCAGGAAGCAAGAGCAGGGTCCCATCAGAGTCAGACCCTCTTAGTCACGAGAACGATACCGAAAATAAAATTGAAAGGAAATTACAATCAGCTACTCTGGTATGTCTAAAGAATTGTTTGGTTCAATTCATTTAGTTCCCTCATAATGTTATCGCACAGAAAGGAAACAATTCAGCTGAAACCGCTAATCTTAGTGATACGAAACAGTCTTCAAATTCGCAAAACCCCTCAGATGCTGTACCTGAAGACCGGATCTCGCAACTGACAAAGGAATTGGCAGAAAAGGGCGAGGTGCGCACTTCATTATAGCAGTCAATATTTAATCCAATTTTTTCTTATCATATCAGCTTCTGGCTGCGCATCAAAGTGTTCTCAACAACATTTGCCAAGCTCTGACGTGTCAGATATGCCTCGACGTGATGTACAAGCCTTATGCACTCGCCCCATGCGGTCACGTGGCTTGCTATGACTGCCTTGTTCAATGGTTTAACGCTCCGCCTGCTGATAATAGACCTGTCGCACCAGCCATTGTACGGAAAAAGACATGCCCACATTGCCGAGCAGTCGTGCGAGATCGTCCCGCAGAAATATGGACTATCAAGAATCTAGCGCACCTCATAGGGAAGAGCGGCCTTGCCAACGTGCCTCCACATTCCGAGGCGCAAGCTAACGTTGATCGGCCTGCGGATGCAGATCCTTGGGATGGCATCTTCAGGAAATCGGTCCACGGTTTCCTTCCCTGGTTACTTGCAGAAGATGCAGATGCCGAACCTCGTCGCGGAGAAGACGTCGGTATGCTTGATATGGAGGACGGAGGGATATACCGATGTCTGGACTGCATGCATGAGATTTGGGATGGCTTGTGTACCTCATGCGGTAGGCGGTATCCTGGCCACGAAGGAAGGGAGGATTGGCCAGACTATGAACTCGGTTTGGACTTTGGCCCAGGAGTGGAAGAGTTTGACCCTGATGATGATCCAGGCTGGATGGGTCTCGAAGAAGGCGAGGGGGATGACGAAGATGATGGTTTAGCGATTGGTGATTGGTATCCAGGTTTGCCGGTGTTCAGTTGGGGCGTTGGCTTTGACGAAGAGGATGATGACGAAGATGATGAAGACGACGAAGGAGATGATGAGGCCTATGAGAGCGATTTCATCGATGACGAGCACGACACTGGAATTCCTCCAGGCCCGATACGACGGCTGCCGCATATACGTGAGCTTTCCGATGACAGCGATAATGAAGACAGCCGTTCGCGCATAGATGCTGATCTCCTCTCCGAGGACGACGAGGAAGACCAACCATCACTTGCCAGTAGACTGGGCCGAACAGCACCCATTGTAGTTTCCTCCGACGAAGATGAAGATGAAGACGAGCCTGACAGCATTTTTGCTCTGCGTCCCTCACGTTCGAGACGCGGACGCCTTGTTGAGTCTGATGATGAGGTTGATGTCCTGTGTTCATCGGACGGCAGTAGCCAGTGACTCGTAAGCATTAATAATATCTTCCCTACATAGAAGGCATCTTCGTTTGATCGTCCTGGTATGTGATTTTCTAGTGAGACGCAAACGATCGCCAGCAATTTTTTCTTGGTGCATATTCTGACCTGTTATCTCCGCACATCTCGCTTGAAGAGCGGCAGAAGAAGGACTAGTTTTTGCGAGCTCCGTTTTGGGAGTCGCAGCAGCACCTCGACCTACGGTAACAAATTTTATGGGAATATAATTGCGTTCCATCAGGTTCCGTCTCACTGTCAACTGTTTGAAAATATTTTAGGAAATCAGTGTTTCTGATGAGAAAAGGCCGCCGCAGTAAAAAAAATCACGGTTGCGAGGTAATCTAATTCTTTATTATGTTTAATCCTTACTTTATGCCATTAATATGTTGTTAGGGTCAAGCGTACGGAAGTCCCAAAACCTTGTTCCCATAGGATTCGATTTCGCTGGTGAAGACCTTTCTCCTGCGCAAAGCGAAGATTCGCTCTAAGGATTCTGATAGATAACGGATGCGATCGGACAGCCGGTCGCGTGTGCAAACACTAACACGAGGAGTCCCATGTCACCCTAATGACGAGGGATTCCCCTTTGCACCATTTTGATAAGCCACTCACTTACCTACAATTTGAGTATGTCTGTGGCTGATCACTAACACCCGTGAATTGGATCATTCATCGTCGAACTCGCACTAGTTCTCGTTGTGCAGCCGCAACTAGACTTGCAAGCAATCACATTCATTCACGATCATCAGATCGATCTAGTATGAAGGCTCGCTCGTCACTCAGCCGGAGCGCCGTTGCACAGGCTGCTGTTGCACGCGGTCACTGCAGTCTGCCGATGATCATTTAGGTTTAGGATCCGGGTTTGTTCACAACTCGTGTAGTGAGGGAGCAGTTTGATAAAGTGCATTTCGACAGAATGGATCAGTGAGTCATATGCCAGTGCATAAGCTCCAATTAATCAGACGGTAGACAGTGCTGAACGTACGAAAATTTGGCTTTGTTTGCATGAGGCGTTGCGGGCGGCACGCATCCCCATTGAATGCTAGTTCAGTAAGTACTTCCGTGTTGCACGCCATTTATGTATCTCCTTGGAAATGCTGGTTGGCAACAGTCTGTTAGTAACGACCCCCCGTACGCAAGCTTTTTGCGATCGTAGTCCAGCTTATCTTATCTTATCTAAAGCAGACCTACTCAAGTGCAACGAGAAGAGTTGACTTGGTGAGATTTGGTACGACAGAACTTGTCCAAACTAAATGTCATTCAGGGAAAGGATCAACTGTCCTACTACTACTGATTTACGTGAGGATTAAGTACAGTAGGACAGCTACTTTCAATCAATAGACCTTCCTCTTACTACGTTGGAGATTAATATTACGATACTTTGTCGATGTTTGGAGTCTCGCGAAGCAGCAAACTCCCGAGTCTCAGTATCAAGGCGGGACCCTGTTGTTTGTCCGTGAATAGAAGCGGTAAGAACTTGGTCTATGGCACACAAAAAGAATAACTTGAGGGGATAACTGATGCCATGTTGAGTAGACAGCATATTATGCATATACCAGTTTGACAAGGCTTCAAGAATTTCATTCTTTGTCCTTGTTGCGTCAGTCCGGGGTTGTGATGTGTTATACATAGTACTCGCTTCTCATCGTGATGACGGGGCCCAAGGTTCTTCAATGCCATATCTCAGTTAATGCATACTATGCGTCTAAATTCCACACGTGTTCTCGTCATCGTGCCTCCATTTTTAGCGATTCTTCCGTGCTGGGTGAGAGCTGCCTCGCGCGAACAACGTGGATCACTGATCAACTGCGCTCACGCAAACGATGTAGATGCGTGGACTTAGTGCTGTGCAAGCTGAGTTGTCTTCCATCCTTCACCCGAGCACAAACATGCGTAAGATGTATGGTCCCTTTGTGCTTCTTTCCTCACTGCAAGTACACTCATAACTAGCCTGCCATTGCCATCTGGCCATTCACTTCTCCAATCACACTAGCTATCACCACTTCTCTTCCTTATAAGGCTGGCACCCCCACACCCCTCGACTACTATGCGCACCAGAACTACCAAGGCCAGCCCTGCTTCTCCTGTTCCTCGCCCACGCTCCCAATATTCCTCCAACGCCATGCACTGGCTCTTCCGCTCAAACTTGCCCCATCGCAGAAGCTCTGCTGCATACAGCGCTGACCTTGGACGGAGGAACTTTTTTGGTATGAGCGAAGTATTTAATGTTCTTCTGAACGTGCGTCTCCGACCACAGCGCAATCCAACTCACTCATGTTTATTCGCAGCCTTCCGAGACGCTTCGCTCCCTGAGCGAGTCAAGGCGCCTTCTCGAGGAAGCCCGCAACGAAATCAACGAGACACGCGACACACACGAGCGGTCTCCGTTGCGTACAAAACACGCGTTCACACGTCTCCCGTGCTTTCTTCCGCGAGAAACCGAGATGCGTGTGATCGAACGTATCCTGGAGGGTGAGCCTTCGTTTACGGTCTTGTTTGGTGCAAGCTCGGTTGGAAAGGTCGGTTCCTCTACTTGTCAGTGCGATCGCCCATTCATCGAAAGTCTGTAGACTGCGCTCTTGCGGGAAATTCTCTCGCGAAATATTTATCATGTTCTTCACTTCGATTTACGCATACCCGGCTTTGCGGATATGACAAGCCTTTACATGAGTATGTCGCAGCAAATGGAGCGCTACTTTGACGAAATATCGAAGACGACGCCTGGATATGAGGAATTCCAGAAGGAAGGACTGGAATTCAAGGTTCGTTCACTAATTGCGTTGAAGAATGGTATTCCTGATGTGATTACAGCACGACAGGTTGAACGTTGAACGAAGGCTTAACGAATCTCCTGTTGGAAGCTCTGGTTCGCAAGTCAGGACGAGCGATATTGCGAGACTCATGGAGCTCTTCCAGGCGCGTATTTCTACTTGCCAATGCGTATTCCACTGACTTTCTTGATTCAGAGTTCGCTTCTCAAGTACAGCGAGTTTGAGCCATCAGAACAACCACCAGAACATGGAAAACGTAAGAAGGACTCCGATATGTCCTCAGATCGGACAAAACTCAATAGCTCATCACCTTCGCCCTCTCATAAATCCCGGTGGTTCAAACGCAAAGGCAAGAAGCCATGCGATGGGCAGCAGAACCAGGAAGTGTCCTCGTCGATGGCCAACTCCAACGCTCGCGAAAAGTCGCACGAGAAGGCTATCAAGCGGATTCCGGTAGTGTTCTTCGACGAAGCACATAAACTGTGGGTACACCTACCTGAAGGTATATATCAGGCGCTGATGTGTCACCGTTGCAGCCCTGCGCTGATTCAGTCATCTGACGCGATGAAATGCCTCCTAGACTCAATGCTGGTGCTCACGAAGCAAGACAGATTATGTCATGTAATCCATGCTACCAGCGACCCTTTTTATCAAGCATGGCTACGACAGTTAAACGTAATGCAACACTGTAAAGTACGTCTTGACGCCTTACGTGGTTTTCAGCAGTTGATTATTATGGATGTAGATTATCACCATCGGAGATTGCTCGAAGGCAGATACGCGCGCCTTCTTTATCGAGAAGATTCTGCCTCGCGTTCCAGAGAACTTGCGTGCAGGCTTGTCGTTCGACTCAACGTATGATGCATTTGGTGGCAAATTAGCGCACTGGCATGATTATGTCAATGATTATGGTATGTTATTATCATTGTCTTATCTCTTCAAGTGGAATACTGACAGATATTTCACAGTCAATGCAGGTGGAAACTTTGAAAGTATGCATACATCGCTATAACACTGGCAGCCATTAACATCGTAACACAGTCAAGCAAAGCTCCCATTTCCTTCAGGCACACGCGGTCCTCAACCTTCACATCATCCATTCCTCACAAGCCACCACATTGACCAGCAGCGGCCAAGATCCCACAACACCCAGCACACCTGCCGCCCGCCCGCGCTCCTCGGGGCCTGATGCCCTGCATGCCAACCTCGGGCCCGCTGGTTTCAAATCATACCCTCCTGTTCGAAACTCTCTCCGGGACCCCGGGAGCGTCAGCGAGGAATATTCTGCTGACTTCAGCGCCATGCAACTGCTCAAGGTTATGAGCAAATTGAGTCAGGTGGGGACGAACCACTTGCCATATTTTTTGCTTTGTCGAGAGCTTGGTGTGCGCGCGGTGGATGGGATGATTAAGGGGCGCGTGCTGAATCTGCATTGGACAGACCCAGTGACGCACGAAGGAGAACCACCAGCCCGCTCGGAACCAATGATTCCTATCACCGTTATCCCACCGGTGGGTATCATACCCAGCCCAATCAATGTCGGGAGTGGCAGCACACTTGGTGCGTCCTCAGAAGACGGCGATATGGTTATGGTGAATCCCATCAATATGTCTACGCGAGAGCTAGGGCAGATTGACGAGGAAGACGAGCATGACGAAGTGATTGGCCCCAAACTGGTGCCCCTGACGCCGATCATGCGCTATGCGATGCGAGAAGTTGTGCTAGAGTATGAAGATGTACGGACATTGTCTGATTACGCTTCTTTTACCGATGTCGAGGAGTACTAAGTGGCCAACTGGCTTCCATGTGGTGTACTCTTCTTAACACAAGTGTCCATTAAGTTATTCATCCATCATCTCCCTCATTTTACATGACATTGCCTTTATTTTCTGATTGTTGTACTGTACGGCATGTTGTTTGCTTCGCGTGTTTTGCATTAGTTTGTACAGGCCCACACGTAATGATCATCTCGCTGGTGAGATCTTGAGAAGCTGAGGCTTCTTGAGAGTTGTATCATACGACAAACCCATTCGTTCTGCAAGGCGATTCATCGTATATTCGCGTTGTACCACCCATATTGATAATTGCAATCACAGGGTTAGATTGTGATCACCCACAGCTGATCAGGGGCCAGATCCACGATTAAATGGAATCAAATTCCGCAAACCTCACATCCGCATGTGCCTCAAGCCAAGCAAGCCATTTCTTCAAATACGGGCTGCCATGCTTCACAGTCGACGAATCACCCACGATACACTGCAAGTCCTGATTAGTCAACACCATGAGGACAAACAATTTCCATTTTACCAAGTGTCTCTTGGCTCGAGTCATGGCGACTGTCGGATGACTTAATGAGGATGATGTCCCCGCGGAAATGATTTTACACACCATTCATACGTCTCTTCTCTTTCAGAAACCCAACTTCGCGCTGGAAACGTTCAGTGGAAAGCGCGGTAGAGAGGACAAATCACACCTTGTCATTACTGCGCACCAAGCTGATAATGACAGCATCTTTCTCTCGCCCCTGCATCCCATCGACTGTCCCAATCTCAAGCTCAAGACCATACACTGGCCTAAGCAAGGAAGTGAGAAGAGTAACTTGGGCTTGGTATCTGATTCACAATGATAAGTTAGGCTTGCATATCTCAGCTCGGAAAAACTCGGTTCCATACGGGGTGATCAGGGCAATTTGTGATGGCAGCAATCCAGCTCCCACCAGCCTTTCGACCCATTTTGACACTACGGCTGCTTCGTTCTCGTTGCAGCGGCTGCCTTCGTCATTATCTCCGTCTACTCGCTCGAAGTATTCGCAACCCGTAGTGTCATAAAACACGACTGGCGTTCCTAGTATTTCTTTGATGGTGTCCTCGTCTTTGGAGGCAGTAAAGGCGCTGACGGTGGGTAGGTCCTTGAGGAGATGAGATCTGACAGATTGATGGGACACGAGCTTTGACGCGTAAAGTGTTTTGGAAGGAAACTGGCAGATCTGCGAGTGCATGCTAGAGATGTGCATTGTGGGCTGCTCAAGTACAACTTGAATATGACTTGTGTCTTACCGGTATTGAACATTGAGCAGGCGTTTTATATCTGGACCATACATCCTCTCGAGTCGGTCAAAGAGCGTTGTTTCTAATGTACGAGGTGGTCGCAAGCCAGTTCGTTTCTTTGCCTCCTTTCGAGTTTTTGTTTCAGGCTTTGGATTCGGCTGGGATCCTCCTTCGGACACTTCGACTGTTGTGTCTTGTGCCATGATTTCATCTCCTTTCACCGATTCCGCTTCGGAATCCGTATCACTGGGACTCGTGCCCTCGTCTTCTTTAGGCAGCTCAGGCTTTGGTGCCATCGACTCTTGCGACTTCTTCTCATCATTCACAGTACTTGCGCTCTTTTTTGGTGTCGCAGTCCCCGGTGTATTCTTCTTATGTTTGTCGATAGAGAGAATCGTAGGTGGCAATTGCATCGGGTCGCCCGCCAGTATGAGCTTTTTCGCCTTGAATATCGGAATCCAGCACACCTGCAGGTATATCAATGGCTGTCATCTGGAACAGAATCAGCTTACCGCTTCGAGCGCTTGTGTTGCTTCGTCAATAATGACTACATCAAACTTATGGTCACGGAGCTGCCTGCTACCAGCGGAATGACATGTAGCAAGGACGACCTGCAGTTAATCAATGATCGTCCCGGTGATTCATGATAGTGTTACAAGTCATACCTGAGACTCTCCGAGGACAGTCTTGACAACTCCGCCTTCGCGCTGCCTGTATCTGGACTAGTAGTGAGTACGCACGCCGAGTCTGAGCAAGGTGTCTGTGCCTACTCCTTCCTAAGAGCCTTTACCTCCTCCCACATCTTCTTGCGTTCCGAACCTCTCGGTTTCTTGGAGCCTTTCCCCTTCCCAGCAAGCACATCGAGCGTTGATTCAATCTCAGTTTTGACGTCCCTTGCAAGTGCGGCCTAACTCAAAGTCTCAGCACCAGCCACCTTATCAGATGCTAGAGTAGAATCACTTGATCGCTCTTGTTGGCCTTCACTTCTAGCGTTGCTTCTAAGACGCCCTGATTAGCCATTACGCGCGCGGGATGGCCTATGCGAGTAGCTGTCAAGAGCGTTCTCTTGCCCCTCTCAGGAGGTGGTATGGCAAGAAGACGCTCTAGGATATTATCGACAGATAGGTTGGAAGCGCCACACACAAGGATGCGCTTCTGTTTCTCATTGATGCTATTCTCCGAAGGAGAGGTGAGTTGTCGTATAATTTCGATCAAGGTATGTGTTTTCCCTGTCCCTATTATTATCATCAGATAATTATATTCAGTAGGAGGACAGGTAGCTTTACCAGGTGGACCATGGATACAAGCGACTTCCTGGGATTCAAGGGAGAATTTGACAGCTTGTTGCTGGCTCGGATTGAGAGATTCGTCAAAGAACTTAAGTTCCGCAATAGGAATCTTTTCAGAAGGTGGTGACATTCCGAGTAAAACTCGGATGAGAGGTGTTAGCTCATAGTCACCTTTGTCACTAGACTGTTTGAGCTGCTATTAGCAATCAGGAGAGCAGAGTTGTATGGTTTAGTTGCCTGTCTTGATGAAGGAATGCAGGTTTTTTCTAACTGGCTGAGCGCTTTATCCATTCTTGAATATGGTACAGTTTAATATACTCGCATGGGAAAAAGAACAGCGCGATTACCTGTCATAAGTGACGCTATTAGCCAATTTGAGTACTCGACAGCGCTCAGGAAGGTCAAGATCGTCTGATCTGGAATCTGAAGAGTCCACCGCAATGACGATGCGTGTATCTGACACCTATTTTGGAGTGTGCGAGTCAGTGACCGCCTAAATGAATTGCACAAGGTCATACTTTGTATACCACACCTTCTGCAGTATGGGGGCTTTCAGCGCCAGCAGATGGGGCCTTCTTACTTTTTGCAGATTTTTTGGCGGTAGTATTCGAGGATACATTCTCTTCGATACGAGCGAGGTCTCCCGGTCTTTCTGAGACCTGAACTACAAAAGTTTCACGTATGTGATCAATGACATACCTGAAGTTGTGAGGAGGAAATAACTGTGAAGTGTGAAACGCTGTAGGACGCTCTAGTTCGACTAATCTGCGCTTTTCCGTAAGACAGCAATCAGGAAACGGAAAGGCAAAGAAAACGAATGACGCCACACGTTTTCCCGCCTAGGCCTATGTTAATTCCAACCACACTCAGACTCCCAAGCGCAAGCCCTTTTTGTTCCAGAAGTTTAGGGCCGCAGTTTGTGAGCAGCAGAGCAGTTCGCTCGATTTCTGCGTTGCGTTCCTTTGAGAGCAGCTCACGATGGCGACCGATAAAGGCTTTGAGCTCCGCTTCTGATGCCATATCACCAAGGCCTGGGGTCGATTTGGACGTGCTGGAAGAAAATGTTATTGCCGGAAACTAGTAGTAGTCTCTGAACGTTGCTGAACGTCACATTCAAGAATGTGATCACGTGATGCATATGTGGTACTGGCAGCGCTTTCGCAAATCTCTTGTTTATATCGTCAACTTATTCATACATGGTGGAGTGGCTGTGGAGTTGACTTCTGGTCCGGTGCGCATTAATATTCCTACTGTCAACGGTTGGTATGATTCTCGACAAACATTTTGCCCCGTCTATCTGGATGGGTGCGATGTCGAACTTGGCCGTGATTGGCTCGCATAAGTTCGTAAATGTGAAGTTCAATGACTTTCGATTTCTTTGGCCTTCGGAGATGGATCTTGCGCAGTTTTCTGCTGGTCATACTTGGAATTTTCGGCCTGGAGGTACGTGTATTCGTCCAAATCATTTTCATATGGCTCCAGGCTAACTAATGATTTATAGAGAACGTGTCTTCTTCGCCTGTTATCCAAGTGGGATTATGTCTAGCTACCCAAATGGGTTCTAAAGCTCAGGAAAGTCGGACACTCGCTGAACGATGAGGGACAACGGGTCTTAAGATCCTGCATCGTATAAATCAGTCACTCGTCAGATGATGCACTCCCGAACTTGTCTCCGCACCAAATCCCAATAATCGAGGACTCCGTAGAGCTCAAATTTACCTATCCCAGCTCCAAGAGAATGTGTCGCATCACTCGAACGCAAATGCCAGTTCTTCCAGGGTTCGTGACCACTGCACATAAGTCGCAAGGACAGACACTTGAGAAAATAATAACTGATCTTGGCTCCAAATGGTGTCGAGGCGCCGAAAAGCCGTATGTAATGGTGTCCCGTAATACAACACCAATTGATTCACATTATGACTCGACAAAGCGACCGTAGCGGGCTCTGCCGCGAGCGGCCGTGCTATGCTTGTATGTTGAACAGAGAGCAGAGAGAATAATCGACGGCCGCTGTGATGCTGATAAGCAACCTCATCAAAAGTCGTACAAATGCAAGCCACCCCCGGACAAGCACTGGCATTAATTTATGACGTAGTCCAAAAAATACGAGTGAGTCAAATATTTATTGCATAATGTCGCAGAGGGGGGGGGGTCTTTGGCACATCGAGTTCGTCACCTAATTTACAACAATCGACACCCAAACAGGACGAGGCTTTTATGATCAATAATCAGTATCGCAAAGATAGACGGTATGATATTCACGTCACCTAGCAATCGGAGTTGGAGGACTACCCCTTCACAGCCTCAACGGGAGCTTCCTCGGGCATACACAACTTGCGCGCAAGGGCCTCAGTGTGATCAAGTTGTACGTCAGCAACAGCGAACGATGCAAGATCGTGACTATGTGCCCCAACACTGAAGTCCATGCTAGCTTCAAGCTCCTGCTTGTTGCGTCCAGCCAAATACCTTTGGAAGTATGAAGCATCCGCAATGCTACGACCGTATTCGTGAGCATCTTGCTCGAGAATGGATTCAAGAACCTTGATGTTTTGCAGAATTGCCTCAATCTCCCAGGCCGTTGTTAGAACACGCAAGCGCATGGATTCGCGAGTAGCTTGCTTCGCGATTACAATTTGAGTGACAACCTTATGAGACATGCCTCTCAGGCCACGCTCGAATATATCTTTGCCCTGGTATAACGATTATCACTGTGAAGTGGTGTATACATGGTTGACATACCTCTTGGACGTCAGCCAGACTCATATCAGTCTCGCTAGCATATTTCCCGACAGACCTGTGAATAAAACGGAGTTCTATTGCATTTGGGACATGGCTACGGTGCGGGTCATAGGGCTTGAACTGTCTTTTTGCACGAGTCACAAGCCGACACAGGTTGCGCATGACGTCAGAAGGAGGGCGCGGAAATGCACGAAGTTCATCTTCAAGCAGTGATGAATCATTACTGGTGTCATCAGAAGATGGTGGCAGTTGACGAGGGTACGTCGTAATGTGTTTGGACTGTGTTTCCATGCTTTGAATATCATGATGTATCCGACTGTCACGAAATGGAGAGCAGAGGTTCTGAACGGGCCTTTGGCGAGGCTCATCCGTATCACGGGTAGGACTCGGTTGTCCCACAGAACTTGGTAGAGGAGTGATACAGGTGTGCATGCTGGACTGTTGTTCGGAAACATCACTATGCCCTAGAGGAATGTTATACCAGGTGACGGAGTTGGAAAGACGTCAGGTGAAGTCAAAACGGGATTGATATTTGGTACTAGGCCGACCGGAGATCGTAAGTCGTAATGCGCTCGAGCAAGCGTTCAGTTCCACCGCTTATTCTAATGTAAGACTGAGCTCAGGTTGTTCTAGAACAGAATTGATTGTGTTAGTTTACATAACTCCACTGGGCTGAGCTAGACTCGCCAGGCTATCGGAAGCAGTCGCCATTATCCACTTAGCACTTGACTTTTCTGGTTCAACGACTCCTATTACTCTCTACGGAGGTAATGTAACGGCCTCGTTCAAGTTAAGTCACAACCATCTTCCTCCATCCAAGATCCGACTAATCGGAACTCAGAGTGTCCCAACCTCTACCGACACCTTGTGGTAGCTTCATTACTAGGCGTGGACAATACCGTGATTGTCTGAGTTAGCATCGAATTGCGTACACGGGGATCAAGCCTGAGGCCTGGGTGCCGCGCTCGTGAAACTTCAGATGCGATTTACAAGCTTCTGTTGTTCTAGCTATCCTCAACGTCGCGGTGGGATACATCAAGTTGGCGCTGAGAAACTCGGTGTTATGAGTTCCTCGCCGCTCTTGAGGAGGAAAAGCGAGCAGAGCATGTGACTACGGAGGGAAACGAATGATGCCACAACTTATCATGGCGCCATAGTGTAAGTAATTCGTTCATCCCTACAATCTGTCATTTTAAGCGACGCGGTCGCCGTGCTACACGTACCTGACCACCCTATTGGAGTTATCAAACGCACAAGTAACGAGGCTTCAACTGGCATCGAGGAGAAGCTCGGTGGTCCAGAGCGTGAATGTGATCGCGGGCAGCCAAGTAGACGAGATCGAAATCAGGTGGGGTGGGAAGGTAGCGCGGCGCGCTGCGCCAATATAGCAGGACTTTCCTCATGGTCAAGATCGAATACGCCGGGGACCACATGGAGAGCAGTAGTAAGTATTTCATTACTTTTCAAGAATATTATCTGATTTCCTCACAGATGCAGGGTGAGGGAAGGTATGAGGATGTCACCAGTAAAATTTGTATGACTAGTACGCGACCTTGTGGGAACCTCAATTGATCGGATGCGTTGCTCGTCAGAGTATTCGGGTGTGTTCCCATATATAGACCGGAACGATGGCAATTTTGATAGATCAACGCCAAAATGGGACTGTGACGAATCACTTTTTGCTGTATACATTACTCTACGGCACATATATACGAATCTACGTATCCTGTTCATTTTCAAATGGTAACTCTTGTTATCTTACTCCACGGTTACGACGTCTGGATTATAAGAATGGAACTTTTCTATACGAACCAAAACCTCACGCTATCAAATCCATCCCCCCTCTGAAGGCTCCACATAATGCGAGATCTACCCATCGAACTTGTTAGCGCTGTCGTTCAGGATGTTTCTGCGACAGTCGATCTTCTTCATTTACGCAGCTTGAACCGGTCATATAGAGAGCTGGTCACTCCCCACGCATTCAGCAAGCTTCACATCAAAAATAGTATACAGAGTGCACAAAATTGCCGCCAGATCATCGGTGCCGCAAGCCTTGCTATTCATGTTCGAGAAGTTGTCTACGATTCTCGTGACAATGAGTGCTTCCGGCTTCCACCCGACAATGTAGGCAAGTCAGTTTCCATTCGCCCACGCTCCAGAGTCTAATTAGGGCCGTATGCATAGATTCCGCGGATGCTGGCAGTGAGCTTGAAGAAGTACTAACCGATGCATTTTGCGGAATAACCGCACTTCCGAAAATTGAAAGCGTCGTGCTCAACTTTTGGCCGTCATTTCTCTGCCAGGAGTCGGGGAGAGAGGTCCGCGAGAACCCATTTTGGTTCATAAATCGGCAGCTCACCCTCCTTCACGCCATTTATCACGGTATGAAGACATCTCGTCTAACTACCTTGTCTTTCAACAACGTGATTTTGCCTTCCACTGGCTACGACTTCGTGTCGTCCCTTATAGATTCGCCCCTGTCGCATATTTCTGTGTCAGTTGTGTCCAATGCCGAAGTCAGTGCTTGGTCAGCTTCAAATAACATCAACGGTTCACTTGGAGCACTCTTACCTCCCTCCAATCCCACTCTGAAATCAATTGTGCTACGTAGCCCCCAGGGCGCCTACCACAGCCTGGCTACTCGGCTTTCTTCATTCTACTATCCATCCCTCGAATCGCTCGTGCTCGAAAATATAATTTTCGATCATACGCCCTCATTTGATGGCGTTGAGGAGTTTGTCCTTCGTCACAAGGATACCCTACAGCGACTTGAGCTGAAATCATGCGCATGCTACGTGCCGGACCCAGTAACTGATGTCAGGCAGTGGTCGACCATCTGGCAACGATGGGCTGCCGAGCTTACTAGTTTGACAGAGCTCGTCGTTAACAACGACGATCATAGATATGTCCTCTTCGACACTGATCGGGGTTATATTCCCCATAGAGAGATCAGCACCTTGGCGTACGAGGATGATTCGTCAAGTTTGCAGGTGTTCAAAGACAACATAGCGGCTGGTCAAGTTGCAGTGGTATAACCTATTTCGATGTCTGTACCATCAAGCTAGTTGATCCTTGAAATTTTGATGCATGGAGTTTCGTGATGACGACCTTTAATATTTCAGTGACTCGAACTTCACAACATGACGAGTCGGCAACCGATCAACTTAATATTTTGACCAAGTCCTGCGCTATATTTATAGCTGTCATCTAGCCAAATCAGCCCCAAGTTGACACCCGGTGTCGATCGAGGGCTTCCTACGGGAAATTAGCGAGACAAATTAGCTGGGCAAATTTACATACCCACGCCAAATTCCCTGGCAGAACATAATGATTCCAAACGTTCAATACATGCCCAATGAGCAACCTGTTCCAGCGGAAATCGATCGAAGATATCGATACCCAGACGTCACACCGCTTGTTAAGCATGTTTGAAAGGTCGTCAACCTTTACTCGCACAATACATCCATGTCCAACTGCTGTGATATCATTCTTGCCTTCTTATAACCTGTTGTTGTGCGTGATGCGCACATCAACCTCAGTGGTTTCTCACTGCTGAACATTGCTGCGGGTGCCTGCAGCAATATTATCTGCACCAACGGTAGGAAGTTCTATCCACCTCGTGCCAAATGGCTCGCTTGCAAAGATGGTACTGACAGACCCTGCTTGCATGCTCCTATTGTTGTTGTAAGAAGAAGCAGAACAAGAATCTCGAAACGGAGGTTATGCAAAATCAGTTTCACAGAAGCGAAGTCATGATTGCTAATGATGCGAGGCCGGAGGTCGCAGTGGATCAGTGAAGAGGGTCAATATAGCATGGGCAACATGGTGCATAGACGCGCAATAGACATATTATTTTCGTCGTTCACTGTCTATAAGACCATAGGTTGGAGAGAGCAGTCACAGTATGATTGACGAAACAGTAAGTAGAGCTACTGAATGGATAAATATGTATCAGCGGACGGACATAAGCTAGAAAGGACTTCGACGACATACTTTACACATGCAATCCTCACAATCATTTGTACACCCTCTGCAACTTTAACTGCTGGCGTTCTTAGCAAGATATCTTGCGTTCACAGCGACGAAATGGTATGCGACTACGGTGATCATAGCAAGGGCACCAAGATAGTTCGCCAGGTTGTACAGCGTCTGGTGGCTTATCATTTTGGAAGCAAAGGAGTGGGCGTGGCCTAGTCAATCATGGTTCAGACATTGAGGTCTACGGTTATTACATATGACACGTACTTTTGGCTTGGTAGTCGTTGTTGGTCAAAACACTTCAAAATAAAGCAGTTAACCATGTCACATATGTGTGATGTGACAAAATCTGGCGTTGATTGTTCTTGTTTGTTCCGGAAGACATCGGGTACTAAACATCCAACGCCGCACCTGCGACTCAGCCAACGTCGGTGTACTACTTCGCCCATCATGCGTCCCACTGCTACACGTCTAGATGGAATGCCCGGACGTATGTTTTTTCATTTTTGCTATGGAACAGTTGTGCTAATTTCGAGCTTACAGCTAAATCATTTGTGAGTTATCTTGCAGCCCAAACATCATACTGCTGTTTTTACTTCTTCTTCTACAGTGCCCTTGGTGGGGTGACACCAGCATACACAAACAGAGAGGAGTGGTTGTCTACAGTGCGTCATCTTTCCCACTATCCTTTTGAAGCAAGCCACTAACTTCGGGTCGTGCTTCGTATCTGTCGCGTCAATTGTCGCCGTGTTCTCACCATGATGCGGCTTCTTTCTCTCCCCTTATTTCGGCACTGGTAGCTGTCTCGCCATTCAGACAGCGCGGCTCAAAAGCTGTAATTAGAGGTTGGCTGTTCAACGGCTACAGGCGTCTTGCTGCCCAAGTTCCCTACTGGATAGTCCCCTTTGCTATCGGTGCGTGTCAACTGTTACATCCATTCATAAACCACCTCATCGGGTTACAGGATATGGAACATACACGTGGGGCAACAGTCGTTACGCTTGGCAAAACAGCAAGGCTGGACATATTGCACTTGGTGAACACCACCACTGAGGTATCATGTTAGATCCACCAGTCCCGAAATAGACTTGTTTTCTTTCCAAGGCACACATCTTCGTGATAATTAATTGGGCGCGTGTCTTAACCAGACTGTTCGTTTCCCCCCTGAGCTGGCTGAACTCTAACTCCTACACGTAACTTGATGATAGCATACCAGTAAACGATGGCTTAATATTCGATGCATGATTATCCCAAAGCCAACCTCGTCGCCCTAAGGAGCAATGACATTGGCCTAAACGGAAAGCAACCTTTACATCAAGAGGCAAAAGGCCAGGAATTTCCTGATCACATGACTATCGAAGACCCCGAAGTGATGCGAGCTGCTAAGCGCGTTCGCAGTACAGAGACGTGTTTTATTCACCGTTTCCTTGGCGGAAGATTGTGGGTGGGTTGTAGGAATGTGTGATATACTGCGTGGTGCAGGGGATAATTTTTGGCTGCAAGATTCGAGTTTCTGAGCTTCTACAGAGGTATTGACAGCACATTGGACTACCGTTCTCGTATCCGGCAGGGGCTTGGCCACGACAAAAACCGCGCGTTTTAGGCACCACCTTACTCTGGGATACACAGGAGCTCAGGTAAGCAGTGTGTCCCAGAGCCAGACTCGATTTTAATCTTCATGTCATAGCAAGCTTGTTCAGCAGCCCGAAGTCAAACTTTCTGCTTGCCCGAAACGTTCAACAGTATGTGCTATTGTACCCCGCAGAAGACATGCTCACAATGCATATCATATCAATGCATAGATCTTATAATGCATTGACTTTTTGATGATCCCACGTAATTGTATACATAACGCATGCATGGCCATATGTACATTATGGGGTAACAAATTAATAGGAAAGGTACTGCATAAATGTATTATTCTGCTTTGGCGGTATTGTTTCTTTGGAATATAGTGGTGAGCAAACAGTGTATCCATCATCTTCGAAGCACAGACCCCGTGATAAGCCCGCAGCATCCTGCGAAACATGCACTCCTCGGACTTGAGCTTGGACTCTGCTGAGGCATGGGAGAATTTCAAGGTGATGACAGAGGCATTGCAAATCATGAGGCCTTACGAGTGATGAAGTCATCCGAGTCGACATGCTGACAACGATGACGATTCCTACTAGTGCTGTGATCATGATTACGACTGATTGCGCATTGAGAGGGCTTATAAATATCGCCCAGTTCGATATTATCATTGCTCTCCTCTCTTCTCATAACTTCATCAACTCGAAAGATGTCCTTAGTCCGCCCCTTGTTCGTGGTCGCCGGTATCGGCAATGGCACCGGTAAGTCCTTCGAAGTGGGTACAAACAAGCGTGCTTGACGTCTTGCACAGGCACCGGAGCTGCAACCGCGTACATAGTACTATCTCCTTCCTCACCAACTTGTACTGATAGTGTGTGAACAAACACAGCCGTCTCTTCGCCAAATCTGGCTACAGGGTCGCTCTTATCTCTCGAGGACCAGATTACCTCAATAAACTCGCTACAGAGATCAGCCAAGCAGGCGGAGAGGTGCTGACTCCTATCCATATGTGCGCTCCTATCCAGTCGCGTTGACCAGATCCTTTGGAACAGGCTGCAGCATTCCCTCTCAATGACTACACCACCGCATCTATCAAGTCAGCATTCGTTGCCCTCAAGTCTCACTGGCCATCATCCCCTCTCCGCGTCGCAGTCTTCAACGCGGGCTACGGCGTCTGGAAGCCATTCCTTGATATCACGGAAGACGAAGTTCGTGAGTCAATCGACACTAACATTCTAGCGGCTCTTGCCTTTGCACGCGAGGCCCTTCTTGAGTTCACAAAGCTCGAGCTTGAGACCGCGAATGAGGGCGGAGTTGCTGGCAATGCTCGTAAAAGGGGCACCCTTATTTTCACCGGCGCAACGGCTTCTGTTCGAGGCAACGTCCTGACCTCTGCATTTTCTGCGAGCAAATTTGGGATAAGGGCTTTGTCGCAGAGCTTAGCTAAGGAGTTCGCCAAGAAGAATATACATGTGGGTGTCTTCTCCATCACCTTAGATTTTTTTGGACTGATGTCTTTACTTTTAGGTCGCTCATGTGAGTCCCTACCTTCTGGTGCTAAGAGTATTTATAAACGTTCAAACGCGCTGCTCAGAGTATTATTGATGGCAGTAAGCATAGTGTCAGCATCCACAAAGTATTCTCTGATGAGGAACAGCCATCATCACTGACCGCACTAAATCTCGCCACAACAACCCTTCTTGGGAGGCTGATCAGGATGTTCGACTTGATCCTGATTCTATTGCCAAGGTTGGAGTATTCTTGTGGCAATACGCACCTAATCTCATCACATCCCTCAGTCGTACTTGCACCTCGTCGAACAAGATAGTTCAGCCTGGACTTGGGAAATTGACCGTAAGCATAGTTCCGATTTGCCATTACCCCATCTTCACTCTCTTCCAAACAGTGCGTCCTGCTCACGAAAAGTGGTGAGCAACTCGACCACCAAGTTTTGGTTTGGAGTCAAAGCGCAATCTGCATTTGTAAGTCTTGCTATGTATGTAGTTATGTTGTTGATGTCTATATGCGCCTTGTTTTCATTTTTCACGTCCTGTTGTTCTTTCGCTCCTCAAAAACATCTTTCACCTGCAGTATTTTCAATCAATCGTGTGAATCTCTCGTTCGTGTTGAAGCTTTTGACTTGGTAAGCGTACGTGTCCTTGCTTTCAACTACTATCTCTGGCCCGGTGTTGCAAATCGCGATGTAGCACACTCATATTTCACTCATTTCCTTTGCACATTGATTCTAGAGGATGATTGATTCATAGCTTACTATTTGTATTTTTTATTCCACCAAAAATGGACGAGAAGTGCTTGTGGCAGTGAAACACTGCTCAGAATGTGTATTTTCCACGCCAATCCATCAGAGGGAAGCCAGCACATGCATTTAAAAAAATCAAGAATTTTACTAATGATTTTCCATGGCCTTCTAATATCACTCTAATTTTTCTGACATGATGGCTGCATGGTGTTGAGAGATACAAATGATGTACTATTGAGATGCAGGATGTGACAACAGGTGTGAGATTGTATTCGGAGTCACAAATCTTGAATAGCGCTTGTCAATTGCCCCAATGCTTGATGGTGTCAGAGAGTAAAACACCTGGCTATCCCAATTAGTAAGCCTTACTAGGCTTGGTACACATGTGCTGTGCCAACTATAATTAGGCTTGCCTGTAGTTAAATCCCAACACCAGCAATAAATATTGCCCTAAATCATATTTTACCTCTAGTACTGTATTATCACAGCCGCTAAATATATTTGGCAAGGTACGTGTTTACCACATTTACTAATTAGGGTAGCCAGCGCTCTCTACAGCGTCATGCCCACCATTCCTGCCATTCCCGCCATTCTGGCAGTTTCTGTTTCAGGTCTGTTTCCCAATGAGGGTTCTGTTTGGCAAGGGACGCTCCCACACCCCTTGCTCCTTACCTTTACGCCGCCCACACTGGCCAGGACAGCGCCTGCACACCATGTCCTGTGACACAGGCTCTCAAGAGAGTCTCAGGCTCAGAGGCCTCTCACTTCTATGCATCTCCTGTCATTCTGGCACTGCACTTCCATCTTAGGCTGACCAGGACAGCATCAACACACAACATCTCATGGCGCAGTCCCTCTCAGGCTCAGAGGCTTCTGTTTACAGACTATCAAGAAGCATTTTCCTCACCATTACCACCCTCTATCATTTACAGTGCCAACATGGATACCACTGCAACCTGCCCTACTATCACACTCCCATCAAGCATTCTCCTCCCCATTACCACCTTCTACGTCTGCGATGTTTATAGTGCTGACGTGGATACTGCAACCTGCCCTACTATCGCGCTCCCATCAAGCATTCTCCTCCCCATTACCACCTTCTATGTTTGCAACATTTACAGTGTTGACGTGGATACTGCAACCTGCCCTACCATCATGCTTGCCAAAAGTCATTTATCCTTATTGGTGTGATCACCACCAAATTATACCTATTTTGAATGTGAGTGCATAATTCAAGCGAAGTCATTCAAACCACTTATCAGTTCGATAGGTCGGATGTGCTCAATGAGTCTTACATTTACTTCTGATGCCCCTTGCTTGATGGTAGACTGTGGAATGGATTTCGAAGCGCTCCCGCATGATTCCCTCAGCCTCATGACCTTTATTGTAGTTATGCAAACATAGCCTGTATATGTTAATATGATGAAGTGTGAGACAAAACATTGAACTTGAACAAGAGTTGTGTGTGATATGCAGTAGGAAAATCTAAGGTGCAGGACCGAACATCCTATCTAAGTTTGCTAACATAGCATCAGAGTCAAACTGAGGGAAAGTCAATATATTGGAGTCTCTAGGAATATAAAAGTTGAAATCTAATGCATCTGGAGCATTGGAAGGGGGAGGGACATCAGAACCTGGCAACTGCAAACTAGCAGAGGTATTAGCTATATCAAAAGTAGAGGGTTGATTAGCAGCATGAGCAGCTGCTGGTGTGGAAGATCGGCAAACAGGCTCATCAACAGGCTCGTCTTGTTCTTCATTCCCATGCTCGTGCTCTTCATCAGTGCAATCATTGTCCTCGACGGTCTCAGAACTCTTGTACTTTTGTGGCAATTTGGGTTTGTGGCAGCTGCGAGCCCTTTGCGCTTCTTTCCTTTGTTAGAATGAGTTCGCCGATGGTGATTGATGATCTCGCCTCTGTCAATCTGCCCCTGGCATTTCGAATAAAGTTCCTTGAACTCCTCATCAGTTAGTACCTTCCATTTGACTCCCACTTTGAGTAAAGCATCTCGAGGTTGGGACATGCACTTGAGGCTTGACTAAGGTTAGCAAATGGAATGTTGTCTGGCCAGCCCTCAATGGCAACTTGATAGTGCTGAACAACGTTACGAAAATAATGTGTCCACTGCATCCTGGCATCAGGATCACCAGTGATGAGTTCTATCAATGCACATGAGTCAAATGCCTTGCAGAACACTAACAAAAACTGATGTAGTTTGGTGTTGATGATATCACAAATTTTCGAGCGAATCTTGGAGACTTGTTGTTTGTAATTTGTAGCAGTGCCTAAATGTAACAAGTCAGTAGGCAAAAAAATTAATGAACGTTCAAACCTTTCATCCCTTGCACTGCAAAACCTTCCATCTTGCTGACTAGATCTTGATTGTCGATCCCCATGACAGAACCCATGAAGTGTTGGACACCTTCAGTGGCAAAGGCAACACCTCACAGAGGGAGATCTGTAGAGCCATGCATCATATACAGAATGGTCTCTGCACCTGTGTGACAATTGAGGCTGTTGAGCTAGCAGTAGTATAGACTAGGTATCAGTAAGCTTGTAAGTCAAATGAATGAAGGACACACCTCATTTTTAACAGCTTTGAGAGTTTGAGTAATGTCATTTATCTTGGACTTCGTTGAGACACAGAGGCCAGTAACCTTTGTTGTTTTCCAATCGGCATACTCTGCAAGGATATTGTCTTGCTCATCCTTCAAAGGTCGAAGGTATTCATTCCAATGTTTGTGGATGAGTGATTCAAGTGCCCCTTGGCCCTGATTACCTGTCAGAAAATGTGTTAGTAAGTGTGTGTAACAAGTCAAACAAGCTTACGGTTCTCAGTCTCTTGGTTTTTCTTCCAGCAGAATGCATTCCATGCATTCAGCTTGGAACACCTCAAGCGAAGCAAACCATGACCAATATACAAGTCATTTTGCACGTGGCATACACATTTGTGGTGAGACACGGCAATGGTCTTCAGGGCCTCATCAAGCTGGTTCCAGGCGTCATTGAGGGCATCTCTGAATTGATGAGACTTCTCCTGTTGGCTGTGTTTGAGCATGGCTTGCGCTTCTTTGCTTAAAACAACCTTGGGACAAGTACAAGGTGGTAGTTGAATGCGCTGACCTGCAGAGATGTTCTTGACGACATGAAACAACTGAGAGACCATTGTTTGCTGCAAGGGTGTTAGCACTAGTTTGCATCCAAGCTAAGATATTTAACACACCATGAATAAATAAATAAATTTTGAGGCCATGGATGGCAGGTTCAGGGTAGATGGACACACATATTCAGACTGACATGAACAGACTCTAAGATCTACAAGAACACTAATCCAAAGAAGTAAAGCGCACATACAAAGACTAGAATTCCAAGGACCTTGAGAATGAGTGTCAGTACTGATATGATGCTCGGACCCGCACTGGGCGGTGAAGGTTCAACGATACAGTGAGAGACGAACAATGCTCCTGACTGTATCTATAAATGTTGTAAGGTCGCACGTTGCCTAGTCTGCTATACTTGAGACAACAAGTGCGTTCGACCCTAAAGGGGAAGTGAGTGCAGCAAGGATCTAGTAGTAGGCGCTGAAGGCGCTACTGGTTGGCGAATGCGAAGCGCGGGAAAGTGCAGGTGCGCACTGAGGCGCGAGAGGGCGCGAAGCGTGGGAATGTGCGTGCGTGTATGCGGAAACAAGTGAGAGTTAGAGTGAGTTTGCTTAAGTGATAATTAGACACCAGACAAGAGGTGAGAGATGCAAGCTGAGAGATGTTATATGCGAGGTGCCAAGGAATAGATTTCAACTATACTCCGCTAGGTAGTAAATGGGTATTGTTGTGGTTCAGTCCTCTGTCGTTCTGGTGGGAGAGTAAGTTTGTAATAGTATGTACTGCTGGCGCTTAAGTATGGCGCCTAAGCACTGTCATGCGGAGCCAAAGCGCTACTGAGTAAGGTATGTAAAGATATATGTAAGTAAGGGTCCATGATAAAAATAAAGATGGAACAATATGCAAATGTGAGAAATGGAAATATACGCACTAGGGAACTTGGTAGACAGTGGATGGATGCTTCCGGATGGCTGGCGCTATAGGGCACTCAAGCGTGGGAAAGCGCGCGCGCATATACATCGTGAAGTGCGGGAAAGGTACGCACGCAAGTTGCACGATGCGCGGGAAAGCTGCGCCTCATGTAGGAATGGCTGTAGGAAGCATACAGAGTGATGCTACAAGTTCGTGCTGTATACTCCTTGGTGAAAACTGCAATATTGCACAAGGAGAGGCATGAGTCTCTACAGCGGGAATGAGTGTCTTTTGATACTCATGTCAAGGTCTATGGAAACTCGTTGGATCCATGTCATTCCAGTCCTCTCCTAGAAGTTTCCTTTGGCCCATAGCCAACTGGCATATACCTGTACTCTGATCTGTCCTCCGTCCATGTCCTTTCTGTGTCCACCTATCTCTGTTGGTGCATGTTCATTTTCTCTTGGTTTGACTAAACAATATCAAGGCTTATTACATGTAACCGCATATTCCGTTCCACATGCATTCTCATTACATATTACTTATCTGACTCATTTCATTGCTACAGTTCTTGCCTATGGGTTCCGGACACTCATGCAGTAGGATAAAGTCTCGCACGCTACATACAGTACATTACTTCCCTTCCCTCAGACACTACCTTTGTTTTGCAGAGTCACCTTAGACGTTCTTAGTACTTTTGATCAATTGACAAAGCTTTGTTCATTCTCACTTTGAACCCATGTGTTCTTGACCGCTCCGAGAACGCGCTGTAGGACTTGGAGTCCTTGTGGCCTCGTAGAGGTCTATTTTCCGATGCATGTTGAATGCTAATCATTGCCTATCATATCCGACTCAATATGCACCAAACCCGAAAACATTGGACATTGGACATCGGGTTTCGCATCGGGTTTCGCATCGGCCGATCGGATATCGCGCGCACTCATCCTACCTATGTCCAGTCTCATTGCACTAGCCCCACTAGGTGCGTAGTTACTTGTTTTCACATCGCTAATATTGTCAACTGCGTTATTACATGTATTCCCATACTCCACAGTACCTCATGTCTTATTACATAGGACATCGGACCCGAAATATTGTGCTACTACTTTCACCTATAGGGTTCCGGATTTCTATGTATCTACTTAAATATTGGACTCCCCATAGCATCATCATCATCCGAGTAGAGGAGAATCGTCTCCGATGCTTAGGGGTCAAACCCAATATTTCGTAGTTCTTAGTTGACATTGCGAATATCATCGTTCCTTCACTGTCCGTATCCATCATTGTTATTATTGCGCACATCGCTCGCTTTTCCGACGCTCACTATAGCGTTACTATTAGTTTCCGATAACCCGAACCCGATAACCCGAAACCCGAAAAACATCGGACCCGACACTTTTGCATTGAACATCATAATTATACCTTCAGACATTGTTTCCCGCGCTCGGATTATTGACCTCACATCACCCACTGACCTCCAAAACTATTCCCAGGCTGCAGACCCCTGGGTTGAACGCACTTGTCCGCAAGTATAGCAGATAGGCAGTGCAAGACCACAACATAAAGATATCAGTTTGGAGCCACCTTTGTATAGCCCCACTCTGTGTTGTATACCTACAGCGCCTCTAAGTTTCTTTACCTAGGCTCTGCACGGATCCGAACCACTCTCGGTTTTCCGACTTAGCATTTTATACCTAGTTATACCTCGGCCATAAACCTTGTCTATACCTAGCTGCTACTTGTGGAACCGCACCTTACCTAGAAACCCACCGCTCTTTACCTAGGATCCTCTCACTTTCGTTTATTTCACATCACACATTCACTGGACCCACAGTCTCGCTTTCGCTCTTATCAGCGGACTCGCTTTTCCAAGGTCGACTTAGTTCTTCATTCTGCATTTGCTCCCTTTGCATTATACTTGAAGGAAGTGCTTCATAGCAATCCTCTTGGGTCGAGACAGCACACCCGCACTCAGTTGGATTTATTAGTGCTCTAGCTTTCTTGCTGGCCAGTCACTATTACTTCTTCACACCAAATATGATGAATCATACTAACACCAAAAGAGTTAGCACAGATTGAACAGTTTGAAATAGTATCAAAAAACACCAACCTTGACAACCTCGGGTTGGACTTGAAGGTCAGTGAGCAGAGCCTTCGACAGGATAGCAGCCTGTTCGTAAGTAAGGTTCCACTTTGGCAACCTAAACACTACCTCCCATCGGCTGCTGTGGGTAGTTCCAATCAAGATTTGCAATTCAAGCAAAATTTCATCCTTCAAACCGAGCCAATCAAGCGCCACATCGGTATTTACTCCAATGCTAATAAGTGCAGGGCCAAACCTTGGCTTGTCATGGCTAAGTTCCTGGCCCAAAAAAAGCAGGCCTGCGTTTTTGTCTCCAGAGACAAATACATCTGTGAGTCGATGTTGACAAATCCGCTGGGAATGTGCTGTTGGTTTTTTCGCAGTGCTGATAGCCAATTCCACTCCCTGACGAATGGCCACAGATGGGATGTTGGTTGGAGTCTTTGACCGAGCTTGAACTTTGAAGTCATTGGAAAAAGCTTGCAGTGATTGTGCAAAGCACTGAATATGGGCTCCAGCAGCATCCATGGGTGCAGGAAGGTACTGTGGACTGTGAGCATTGATATGTGCAGCAGGAACTTCAGAATTATGTTAGCAGTGAGATTAGTATATGAAAATCAATTGACTTACAGTGCTTAGGTGGTTTGATGTCTTTGATAGCACAACACTTGGAAAAGCGTTGAAGATGAGGTAGCACAAATTCTGCAGAAAAAGCCTGTACTAAGGTAGCAACATCTCCACTGATGTGCTGTGGTGTCTCTTGAAGTTCACAGGGTGTGATGTAGAGGTCAAGAGCAAGTTCCTCAGGCAACATTGTTGAAGACACTTCAGAGCCTGAGCCTGGGCATCAAATGAGGAGAGAGATTTCGCCATCGATATGGTCTTGCATGGTTACCTGAATAATTTATGAAATTTTAGAAAGAATGTATGAAAGTCTAAACTTACTGCATCAAAAAGATCCCAGAGTGCCTCAACTAGTTCAACATGAGTGAGAGTCCTCTCTTTACCATTGGTCTGATTGAATGCAGCATATGCTGGGTGAAGACCACCAGGTTTCCTAGTGTGATAATGAGTACCATCGATGTGTGTGTTGTGCCTAAACAATGCCCTTCCAGCTGCTTGACGTTTATTATTGCTGAAACCTTGTGCAAATGGCGATGCATGGAGAGCAGCTAGACTAGACATTGTGAAATGACCAGGTCCTGGTACTAGTGTGAGCATCTCCATTGGCGATAATTTTTGTGCAGATAGCTGTAGTTTTGCCTTTGGGGGAGTGAAAACTATGATGTTGAAAACAGACTGCTGTAGTTTGAACGTAAAGGTCAAAGGTGCTAGTAAAGGCTATTTAGTAACACATAATAGGAGTGTTCACCCTACCATCAGAAATGTTTTGGTGAACATTGATGGTATTGACAGCGGTCATGTAAGCAAGCCTGGCGCCTCAATTACTAGACATATTAACACTCATGTAAGTATCAGGTCCAAGTAGAGTAGCTTTCAGACCATTACTCTTGCTATTCTAAAGTTCAAGCAGGGTAGCTTTCAGACCACCGCTCTCGCTATTCTAAAGTAGATTGATATTCAAGCAGGGTAGCTTTCAGACCACCACTCTTGCTAACGGTTCTATGAAGCTGATTCTAAGATAGACCTCACTCATACTTTGCTTGATCATGTGATCAAAATTGTGACATTTCGTGACAAAAGTGCCAGAATTGCATCTCATCCTTCAATTCATTTTTGTTTGCCAATGTAAAACCCAGGGAAGTTGACTTAAGTACATCCCCAGAGGACCTAGGTTTTAAAATTTGAATACCTCTCAAACTGAGAGTAGAGATAGCATTTCAATTTTGTCAGCTACTTGAGATGTGTTCCACTTTAGGAATTAGCAGCAAACAATAGAACTAAGTAATACTACTACACTACCTCTCCATCATGCCGAAACGAAAATTGTTCAATGTCACAAATCTTGGGAGTTGGGCAAAGCCACTTGGTCACTCAGGAGACAAAGAGAATGTAAGAAAAGTTATTCAACTAGCAGCCTACACAAATACTGACACAATGGCTACAGGATGTCCCAACAAAAGTTATTGTATCCCCTCCATCCAGTCCGAAGAAGAAAAGGCAAAAGAGAGAAATGGTTAGTACCACAATACCATTGGATCCTCCTCCCTTTGTGCTACCAATACCAGAGCCCTCTCCACTTCACGAGAACACCAATTCACCAAGAGAAAATCTCCTCGAGTCTAAGCACAAGCATCTGAGTCAACTGGCTAGAGTAGACACTGTAACAGGGTTTTACAAGCCCTCACCCACTATTGAGGAGGCATTTTTAGCCTTCAATGACATCAAGAAGATTCTTAGACTACCAAAGACGACTGGTGGCTACAAAGACCTTGAGCTTGACTCAGTCTTTCGTCGCCGACTCGAAGGAATGAGGCAATTCTTATGGGTCTATGTTGACCCTCAGTCTTCAGCATATGGAAAGTGGACAATGGCATCATTACACACTGCAAAGGCTCTAGAATGGAGGCCTGCACACTCACAAGTACTCCATGAACGAGTACATGCCTTCATTGCAGATCGTGAGGATCTCCCAATCAATATTTATGGGACATGGAACAAGTCACTTCTTGACAAAAACGAGGATCTTGCACAGGAAATACACATGCATCTACAAATGACTGGAAAATATGTAAAGGCTATGGACCTTGTTGACTTCCTCGATACACCAGAAATGCGAAAATGGAGTGGAATCACAAAGCGAATTAGTCTTGCAACTGCGCAGCGATGGATGAAGAAGCTCAAGTACTGCTGGACAAAAGACCCAAAAGGTCAATTTGTTGATGGTCACGAGAGAGATGATGTGGCTTACTGGCAGGAGGTTTTCTTGCCTGCATGGGCAGCAATCAAGGAGAAGACTCGAGATTAGTCTTGTCACAATGTCGAGACTGACAGAGATTACCCTCGACCATCACTACAGGAAAAGAAGACTGTTATGTGGTGGCATGACAAGTCCACATTCTATGTCAATGATCATTGCAAAACATGATGGGTCCATGAAAGTGAAACAGCTGTGCCCTATCCGCAGGGGGAGGGACCATCACAGATGATTGCAGATCTTGTTTCTGCTGATTATGGGTGGTTGCACTCACCTGATGGAAAAGAGGAGGCTCACGTTTTCTTCAAAGCAGGAAAAATTTGTGAAGGGTACTTCATGAATCAGGACATCCTTGAGCAAGCTGAAAGGTCAATGGATATTCTAGAGAAGTACTACACCAATGAAAACCACATTCTCATCTTTGATAATGCAACAACTCACTTAAAACGTGCAGACGGAGCTCTTTCTGCAAGAAATATGCCAAAGGGAACATTGAAAGCACAAACCAATTGGGGTGTGGAGGTTAATGTTTGAGACACGGCTGGCAACAAGTTTACAGTGGAGATGGCAAACCATTGAAAGAAAAAATTTGAATGGACAATGCAACTTTTGCAGATGGATCAAAACAGTCACTCTATTTTGGTGAAGATGCTGGACCTAAAGCAGGCCTCTTCAAAGGGATGGCTGTAATCTTGTACAAGCGAGGCCTTATCCAAGAATCAAAGCTGCGAGCACAGTGCAAGGACTTCAAGTGCGTGAAGGGAGCAACAAATTGCTGTTGTTGTCGAGTGCTGTACAATCAGCCAGACTTCGTTGCCGTCGAGTCAAATCTAGAGAGGACCTGCAAAGCAAAGACCTTGAACAAAATGTTCTCTCTGCTCTCGAATCAGTGCCACTTGATAGTATGCGCCAGTGTGTTAATTGTTAAAACATTCAAATCTTACATTCAAATTTTCACACCAATCAGGTTTTCAACACAAGCCTGCCGATTTATGGATGCATACCATAGAGGATTAAATGGGAAGCAGGCTGCATGGGCCTCGAAGAAGTATAGAGGCCACTGAATGCTACCAGATAGCATTTTGCACGATCTCGACTAAGCTCGTGTATAGCGTTATTGTCAATAGTCAAATGTAACATATGTCACAGTCGGTCACCGCTAGAGTCACCCCACATGATTAAGTGAGGTATGGCTGCAGTCTATCTTATGTAAGTAAGCCTGCCTCAATCACTATACATTAACCCTCATGTAAATCTCATGCTCAAGCAGGATAGCTTTCAGACCGCTGCTCTTGCTGTTCTAAAGCTGATTCTATGTAAGTAAGCCCACCTCAATCACTATACATTAATGTTTTGACACTCATGTAAATCTTGATATTCTAAAGTAGATTAATGTTTAAGCAGGGTAGCTTTCAGACCGCTGCTCCTGCTCTTGCTGTTCTGAAGCATGATTATTATTATCAGAAGTGTCATTAAATACATAGCAGAGTGCTGTAAATCGCAAGATAAATGTTAATTGTTAATGGATTGTAGATAGTCAGCCATGTCCTGCATCAATGAATCATTCTCTTCAGCATCTAGGTCAATATCAGAAGTGATGATATCATGCAGATCATCAATGATGTCTCGTTGCACTGTGATATAATTAGTTTCAAAACATCAAATAACAAACACTTGTGCAAAATGTACCAGGACAGGTAGGACAGGCTGAATCTGCATTATCATTGCTAGACAATGTGAACTGATTAAGGCAGACACCAGCACCCCTCGTTCCTGAAAATGCAGGAAGTTTCTCAATGTGATCTAGGCGAAAAGAATGAATAGCATTGATGGCCATACATGAATGCCATTGGCATCGAAGCTCATGCCCCAACTGTGGGTTCGAAACACGAAGATCCTATATGATAGTAGAGGTATGGAGTTCTTCATCATGAATTGCCATATGCAGACGGCGAACTTCGACATTGAGCTGAGTAATTTCTTTGTGGGCTCGACAAAGCTTGAAATATTTGGTGGTCACCTCTTGATGAGCAGGCGTTGCCCAGTCACTATTTTGAATATCAGTGCGAGAATGGCGCAGCAGATCAAATTCACCAAGGAAACTGTAGTCAGCAATGTCTTTCCAAGATACCTTCTGTCATGGTGGATTTAAAGCGACAGCTTGGACATTATAGCAGTTGATTGCATTTCAAATGGCTTCTGATTGCCATTGTAGTGCTTTGCCAAGTTGTTGACGTAGTTTATACCCTAAAAATGTGAGCTCACTGAATGTGTGATTTGCGATAAACAAATACCTGTGCTGGACAATGACAACTTTGAAAGTTCAAATAACCTCATAACAACCAGATGCTCCAGGTCATCTAGCGCACTGTGATACTTGCTGAGAGATACTTCCTCCTTAAAATGGTTATACTCCTGGCCACCAATCTCCCATCATGCATCAACAGCCAAGAGAGCTTCTATGTGCACAACCAATGCCTCGGCATGCTGTAATTTAGCATATGAAGAGTCGACCTGAATACGAGCTTGGGAAAGTGCATTGTTTATCTGCTCCAGGTTACCGGCTGCAATTGCAGTGAGAGAACTATTAGCAGCTTCGCATGCTAAGTCCCAATCAGCCCTAATAAATTAGTGTCAGGGCCACATATCAACAAAATAGTTATCATTACCTCCATTCAGCAAGCTTATCAAGCACCTCAATGTACCAAACAGAGAGGTAATCTTTTTCAGGTGACTGCTTCGAACCGTCAAGATAATCATGTTCTTCCTTGAGGAAGCGAGGGAAGTCAACATCAGTAAGACCAAGCTCAGATTGAATGATGGCTAGTTCAGCTGTGAGCATGCTAATCTGTTTGGTTGCTTCTCAGTAATGACTTGATAAAAAATTGGCTGACAAAATATCAGTTTCATAATTGAATATTAGGTCCTTAAAGAAATTATGCACAAAGCACAGCATACTTGTCAGCATTCCAAAAAGCAAAGTGTTCTTTAATAGTTTGGTGCCAGTGGAACGGGCTTGCATGTCTAGTGCTACGAGTGAGCTCATTTGAGGCGGAAAATATGTGCTTGCACCCTTCACCCTCACTGTGTCCAGTGCCCAAAATATACATTGGATGCCAGACCAACTGGCATTTGTGGTTGTGTGCATGGCTGTGAAACGTGCCAACCATCATCCGAAAATTCAAGTCTAATGCTCATGGGCATAAGGAGCTATTCATTAAGGTCTTGGAGAACACGCAGCCAATGTCATAAGTGCAAGTGCAATTCTTCCCATAAACCATAAGAAGCTTATTGATGAGCACGAGGGGATATTTAGCTCTATCAAATCAAGTCAGTGCCAAATTAACTGACGGCAAGAGTGAATTACAGTTCTCCACTTTGGATCATGTCGCAGGCCAGGAGTATGAAATGATGATGACAGGCAGCAATAAAAATGCTTGATTCATGGAAGACTGAGAACATCTTCTTGTGTGTTTTGGGTCCGGCATTTCACCAGCAACTAACACAAGTGAGTGAGCCCAGTTTAGCCTTGATGGGTTCATCTCCCCAATCATCTAGACTTGAGTCCTGTATGACATCATTAGGCAGTGATAATGTCAGAAGAAAAGACTTACTCCCTGAGCTTTAACTTCACCCTTGAATTTGTCTACAGCCATGGGTCCAATCCAGTAGTCAGAACGTGCCTTGCGAGAATCTATGCACACAGTTGTACCATATATAGTGGAATTCCAGTGTTTCAAGCTATTGTTGCCATCTATCGAGACGAGCCAGTCAAACTCAAGTGTGGGCTCATCCTGGAGCTTATAGAAACATGCTGGACAGGAATTGAGTAAACGCCAGTTAGGCGTGTCGTGATTCAGGGCTGCCCGGAGATGCTTATCGACAGAATGAACAATTTTGAGATATATGTCATATGCAGCCAAAAATGGCATGCACAAGTATGGCTGATAAGGAATCTATTAAATGCCCATCGTGAGATGGTTCACCAGATGAGCCATGCACTTACGTCATGAAGAAAACACAGAGCTTTGCATTGAGCTTGGATGCTGAAACAAGGACACATTCAATGAATTTGATGGTAGGCGGCAAGAGTGCATAAGGATATTACAACTGTGGGATACATTGGCGCACACCCAATGTAGCCATGGTAGATCAGGGTCTCATTAGGGTACTTGTGAGACAACAAAGATTGAGGTGATGAGTGGTGTAGGACTTGGAGTCCTTGTGCCTCATAGAGGTCTATTTTCTGATGCATGTTGAATGCTAATCATTACCCAAATCATTCCCTATCATATCCAACTCAATACACTCCAAACCCGAAAACATCGGACATCAGACATCGGGTTTTGCATCAGGTTTTGCATTGGCCTATTGGATATTGCATGCACTCATCCTACCTATGTCCAGTCTCATTGTGCTAGCCCCACTAGTCCGCAGTACATCATGTCTTATTACATAGGACATCGGACCCGAAATATTGCGCTACTATTTTCGCCTATAGAGTTCTGGATTTCTATGTATCTACATAAATATTGGACTCCCCATAGCATCATCATCATCCAAGTAGAGGAGAATCATCTCCAATGCTTAGGGGTCAAACCTGATATTTTGTAGTTCTTAGTTGACATTGCGAATATCATCATTCCTTCACCATCCATATCCGTCATCGTTATTATTGTGCACACTGCTCGCTTTCCCGATGCTCGCTATCGCGTCACTATTAGTTTCTGATACACTGAACCTGAACCCGATAACCCAAAACCCAAAAAACATCGTAATTATACCTTCGGACATTGTTTCCCGCTGAAGGTACAACAATTCAGATGGTGAGTCTGAACAATGTTGGGTCTTGCAGAACCTAGCTGCTATTCGACCCTAAAGGGTTTCTGGACCAGGCTCAAGGCTCAGAGGAGAGGAAATATGATAGAAACTTGCTGAGTACTCAGACTCATACTGGTAACTGGTGAAAAGGTAACTTCCTTATGTAAGCTACAAAAGTGCAAACATAACACTAAGGTAAAAACAGTCTCTGCAAGCCCAGCCAGAAATGAATCCCTACACCACGCTCGGATTATTGACCTCACATCACTCACTGACCCCAAAAACTATTCCCAGACCGCAGACCCCTGGGTCAAATGCACTTGTCGCACAAGTATAGCAGATAGGCAGTGCAAGACCACAACATAAAGATATCAGTTTGGAGCCATCTTTGTATAGCCCCACTCTGTGTTGTATACCTACAGCGGCTTCGCTCTAAAAATAAATTAGCATTAATAGCAGAGCAAAGTCCATCATACATACAAAAAAGATCTACAAGTTTGATATTACATACTTAGCAAAAGGCACTGAGTATCACTTGAAGATGGCGCCATGGGTGGTTCATTGAAGGTTGGCATGCCATTCTCAGCAGAGCGAGAGTGATAGTCGAGATAAGCATCCACAAGGTGACCTATTTGAATATCCCAGTGAGCCGTCTGATTTTCTGTGTGGTCATGGCATGTGCAGTGATCTGTATAGCAACTATTATGTGGGGTGAGACTAAGCAAGGGAAGATAGGTAAATAAACTCGCCAGCTGCTGATCTTGGCAATTTGGCTTGCAAGACCTTCAAAAGCTTCATGACCTCCACTGTGGGTACAACAATTTTGATGGTGATTCAGAACAATGTGTTGGGTCTTGCAGAACCTAACTGCTATTCAACCCTAAAGGGTTTCTGGACCAGGCTCAAGGCTCAGAGGAGAGGAAATATGATAGAAAACTACTGAAGACTCAAACTCATACTGGTACTGGTGAAAAGGTAACTTGATTATGTAAGCTACAAAAGGGCAAACATAACACTAAGGTAAGAACAGTCTCTGCAAGCCTAGCCAAGAATCAGTCCCTACACCGCCTGCGTGACTGAACTCCAAGCCTTCCTCTCCTGGGGGTGCTGTGTATGGAAGCGCTTCAGAATCCATTCCATGGTCTACCATCATATTCTCCACCATATCGTGATCTTCTGTTGATATCTCTAAAAAAACTGTGAACACTACCTTGAAACTCAGAAGATGAGCACCAACCTTAAATCTCAGTGCAACATGTAGCATCTGTATCAGCTACATGCTGGAACTGCTTGCTAGCCATAAGGATGTGTGTTTGGTGATGACACCCTCTAAAATTGTGCGATACAACTGATTTTGAGAGCTCATTGAGCCTGAGAGGGACTCTGCCGTGAGACATTGTGCATTGATGCTGTCCTGGCCACTGTGGGCGGTGCTATGAAGGTAAGGAGCAAGGGGCATGAGAACACCCCTTGCTTGAACAGGGCCTAAGACAGAAGCTGCCAGAATGACAGGAGATGCATAGAAGCGAGAGGCCTCTAAGCCTGAGACTCTCTCAAGAGCCTGCATCGCAGGACATGGTGTGCAGGTGCTGTCCTGGCCAGTGTGGGCGGCAGCATAAAGGTAAGAAGCAAGGGGTGTGGGAGTGCCCCTTACCAAACAGAACCCTCATTGGGAAACGGACCTGGAATGCAAACTGCTGGAATGGTGGGAATGGCGGGCATGACACTGTAGAGAGTGCTGGCTACCCTAATTAGTAAATGTGATAAACATGTACCTTGCCAAATATATTTAGCAGCTGTGATAATACAGTACTAGAGGTAAAATATGATTTAGGGCAATATTTATTGCTAGTGTTGGGATTTAACTATAGGCAAGCCTAATTATAGTTGGCATGGCACGTGTGTACCAAGCCTAGTAAGGCTTACTAATTGGGATAGCCAGGTGGAGTAAAAATGGTAGTGTGACATAGTGTGATGTGACGACTTCTGTGCGGGTGAGAAATTTTGCATCTATGCATTGCTGACAGATTTCGAGGTAATGATCAAGAAATCATCTCTATTTGACTACTGAATACATCTGATTTCGTACAATAGTCATCATACAATTGTGTAGCTATGTGGGCTCAAAACCCGAAACATTGTTTCAAACCTGTGGAGAAAATCCAGGATGAGCTGCGATGCCCAAAACAGAAGGAGCCCTGTGACACATCAAGGCGCAGACTGGACTAGGGCTGGCCACTGTAACTGTATATATTTACGGCTGTACAATTTATGGTGGGCTTATGGGTACTACCCATACCATACCATATGTCATACAATACATTCAAAATATTCAATGGTACGGTACGGGTCATCATACAGTCATACGACTGGCTATACGGTCGTATGGGAGATGAAAAACAAGTAAATTACAGTAGTACTAACTTTGTAGCACAACATATATATGAATATGAATTAATCAATTACCATGATAGCATTACGAGCGAGGTGCAGACACTGCTTAACCAACATCAATGTCCTGATAGTGTTAGGTTGGAGACTAGCACACCAAAGAGAGATAGTATCACAGCCACCGGAAAAAATGTATTCAACAGCAACAGCAGAGCCTGCACAACATCCAGAGGATTAGTGTACCTATATACAATGGTGAGCAGATTGAACTCACCAGGAATAGCAAGAATATCCCTCAAGAACTGTCAATGAATTAGTAGATACGAATTTGAGATGAGGTGGTGTGTTGTTGGGCAACACGCGCAGAGACTCTTGTTGAGACTCCTGCATAGTGATGTTCCAGCCCATAGAGATGGACAGAAGCTGCGAGAGACAAATGAGGGACTACAGTAAACATTAGTGACAGTCAAGTATGATAATGTCCAAATATCTCATAATTCTCGTGGTAAGCTCACAGTCTTCAGCTTGGGTACTTGGATGAGATTGCTGGCTTTATGAGTAATCCATGCAGACTCTTGGGAAGCAGTCTGGTATCAGTCACCATCAATATGACATATGTATGGAAGCAGGTGGGGGTGGAGGCTCAGCCTGAGGCGCTTGTAAAAGGGAAGAATACAGAGCTGCAGAATCAAAGTAGACATCAGAAGTTGACCACATTGTATTCTGAGACATACCACCATATGATGTCCAGTGAAGACTGAGATGAGTTGGTCAATGCCGAAAAGGCAACAGGCTGAGAGTCCAAGAGAGAAATGCAATAATGACTTGTGATGACATTTTGATGAATGGATGGTAGCATGGTTGGAGAAGCTCAGGGAGTCATTTGAAGAGAATGCAGGAGAGGTGGTAGTGGACCAAGACTGAGTGGGAGTACCCCACCTGCTGTGAGTGCAGTTGGAATAAAGCTAAAGACAAAGAACACATTAGTCCCCCATCCAGAGTTGAGTCTACATGTGCAACATACCTAAACATTGAAGATCAGCATTAAGGAAGAGTCGAGGTTGTTGCTAGGTCATGGTTGTCGCCAGTATCGAAATAAGACATGAGGCTACCAGCAACAGATCTGAGTAGAACCGTATGTCCCGTATGACGGTACATACGGCCATAACCATTAATGAGAGCTCTAAATCCTCAACGGTACAGGTATGGCACCTGTATTACGTCACCATACATCCCCGTAATATGGCCTACAGTGGCCAGCCCTAGACTGCACTCCCACTTCAAAGGAGAAGGGCGAAGTGGTGATGTACCTTATTAACTCATTGGAGGCATGGTATAATGAGTGAATGGCTCCAGAGCCAAGGATCCTTGCAGGTATGGCGCTGTGTGCGAGGAATGATAGCTAGATGAGAAGGGGTGAAATGGGAAGAAAGGGGGAAGTGGGGTAAAAACTCAAATAGACCTCTGGACGCAAGTATAGATTCGGCCTGAGGGGATTGCTACTGAGAATGATTCCTCTAAGTAAAAGTGTGAGGGGAAATGTTGAAACTAATAAGAGTGACTGAGACTAAAAGAAAATGCGGGAGCTGAAAGCTGAAGCCGACGCGATGTGAGCGCGAGCAAGCCGCCAAAAATGCGATGTGATATACGCTTAGGCGAAGCGCCAATAAGACACAATACGATGCGAGCGGAGCGGCCGCGATGTGACAAAACACGAAAGCGCGTGGTTTAGTCGAAGGTGAGTTGCGAAGAGGTACTGAAGGCGCTAGGGCGAAGCCGAGCGATGATGAGCGCCGAGAGCATTGGATATTATAGATACGTGAGCGCAAGACAATTGCCGCTGATAGAAGTGCGCGCGCGAGAGAGTACCGAAGATTTTAGACTTTTAGTCACGGCTTATAGCTTTTGCATGCAAACGGGTGATAAATTCTGATGGGAGAGAGAAGGTACATGAAAATTCTAAGTATCTGATATATGTATGTGCGCATAAGCGATATTCGGAGCCGAGTAGGTAGCGAGATGTATGTAAGTAGGGTCCATGACACATTTAATGAAAATATAAATGGAATAGCTTGGGAATTGTTGTTAGTCTAGTGGGAATCAAGTAATATACGCACCAATGAACCAGCGGAGGATATGGATAGGATGGACAGAGGACGTGCGACGGATCTGAAGGGAAGCTGACGTTAACCGAAGCGCGCGCGAGAGCTGCGGCCGTCGGCTGACGATATAAGACATGCGCACTATACCAATGGTAGTGCATACTGCAATTAGAACCAGAGGGACAACACAAAAAGGCCTATACGAGGCCACAAAGACCATAGGTCTTACAGCGCCAATATCAGTGCATGTTTGCGCAAATACACTGTGAAAGCTTCACTGGACCACCCTTGGCAGCACTTTGAAGATGTTCTCAAGGTATGTCAGACCCTATTATTATGTAGGGAAGATATGGTCTATTCCATGAAATCACACCTTCACATTTCCCACATGAATCTTAAAATAAATCAGAAGGCCTCAATTTTCTGGTAGCATTATGACTTTCATCAGCAAACTAGGGGGGTCTTGTACACAACTGTACAAGCCTGTACAGGCTTGTACAGACCCACAAGGAAGTCCCTCCTTTGCAGGCTTGTACAGCCTGTAAAGCTTGTGGATTTCAAAGCACAAATGCTAAAAGAATTGTCACTAAGGTGTGTTACAGTAACATCACATGATCAATTTCACATATTATAATGTGCAACTGGCAGAAATTGAACCCAACACATTAAGCAATTATAAGTACAGCATTGTTACCACTAGGCCACAAGATCATTTGTATAAACTAACAATAATGAATATATATACCAATGTTACATGACAAAATGCGAAAATTCCATTAAGTCAGTCTACTCAAATATTACACCACAACACCACCATTTTATTTACTGCTACATAAATTCTAGTATAGTGGCTTGATATAATTGTAATTGAATGATAAACTGCTTTATTTAATATATCTACATGTCCTATTTCACTCAGAGCCAATAGATTTTGTATAATAGAGATTAATATATATCTATATCTCATCTGCTTTCCAAACACTTTATTCACTTTATATCACCAGTTATGAAGTAAAATCAGGGCTTTAATATGAACCAACATTCATCAAATTTGGTCCACAGGATCAAGAGATATCACAATTTTAGTATTTATAAGAGGTTCAATCAAGTCAAATAGCACATATCACAACTATATTACAACAGTATATAGTAGATTAAGGATAGTAGAGACTGGAATAAGATTAGAAAACTTGGAATTTCAGTAAGTCTTTGTACAGCTTGTACAAATTGTACAAGCTTAGTCAGATTATGATTAGCAAAAGATAGGGATACTTGCTAAAATTCACATATTTATATTGGTTTGTATTATCTATAGACATTATTAGCATTGGTGATGTGATATTTTATTATATGTCTGTGAAGTTTGTGAGACCTGTGGTGTCTTGTGGCACCTTGTGTGGTTTGTGAGACCTGTGACGAAATCAATAGTTTGCTGATGTTCTTGCAAGAACAACCAAAAAAAATTTAAAGCTAGTGTATGAAACCATGTTCTACTGCTAGCCTTATAGCAGCTTGCTTTATGATCCACATCAACTGTTGAATATTGTCCAAGTCACTCTCTATCATATCCAACTTAATAATATGTATTTTTTAAATGAGTTTTTGAGAAAACTATCCATGAGGAAATGTTAAGATGTGATTTCATAGAAAGAAAATGTTATTGTTGGCAGGTTTTAAACCTACATGGTCCAAGAGAAACAGATTTTGACTCTGGTGACAACTCAACTAAGACTGATGAAGATCAGTGTCTGAGAGACTGTCTATAATCAAATATTCAAGACATGTTCTAATAGAAAAAATGCAGCATTCAATGGGTTTGAAACTGCCAAGGTGCATTTTCATAAAATAAAAATATTATCATTGGCAGGTTTCAAACCTATGTGGTCCAAATGAAACAGATTTTGACTCTGATGATCACTTGCAATTTTATCTTCAGCAGGTTTTGAACCCACACAGACAGATTTAGATTCTGTCGCATTAACTGCTTAGCTAAGACCAGTTGGATGCACTCCCAATGAATTCAGTCAGGAGTGAATCCTCAAGGTACATTGATCTGCATTTTGTCAGTTCTAACATTACATCATCAGCCCACTGTGGTGGTCTGCCATCAGCACATTTTTGAAGCAATTGCTGGATAAATAGGTCTTGAAGTAAAGGCCCAAAAGAAGTCTGACATCTTTTGTGATAAAAGTAGAATAAAAAAAATCAATCACAGCAATCATATTATTAAAAGAACTAACAGAATGCAGATAAATATGCCTTAAGGATTCACTTGTGAATGGGTCCATTGAGGGTGCATCTAACTGGTCTTAGCTGAGCAGTTAATACAATAGAATCTAAATCTGTCTGCATGGGTTCAAAACCTGCTAAAGATGTCATTATTAAGTTATCACCAGAGTCAAAAGAAGGAAAATGTAGGATTACATTGATTGCATCCACAATTAGTGGCTGTCTGTGAGTTCTACATATTTAATGAGATTGAGAACAAACAAAAGACACAAAAAATAGAATCTGCGTACACATATGTTCAACAATGGTCCACAAATGTCAATGAAATTATTTAACTGTGCAGAAATATCAAGATATTTACCCTCTACACAGTACATATTGACTACAGATTTATGACCACTGAGAAAGAGCTTGTATTCACCCACACAAGCTGCAAGACTACATTCAAATATTCATTCATCAGAATTATATAAATACACATGTAAGAACTTACTCTATGTCCTCATCTTTCAAGTCTACCTGTCTATAATATCACTGTATTTCGAGCCATACCTCCTATAATAGAAAATTGAAGTCAGCGAGAGCAGGTTAATGTTTGAATGGACCAAATGTTCCTGTACCTGTGTACCAGACCTTAGATATATCTCAGCCACCTTATTATACCAATATGATATCACTGGTCCTTCCAAAGTGTTAGGTTCTACTGGCCTTCCATATGAACGTGCTACTGAGGTCATATCAAATAACAATTCAAATGGTGGAGAAAGGTTTGCAGCCGAAGAAACATGCAAAATGTTGGAAGATAGGAATATTGAGGTTCAACAGCACAAGCCAAAGAGAGGCAGGCCAAGAAAGCAAGTGAGACAGCATCATCAGTACTCATGATTGATCCTAATTTAAATGCAAATTTAATAACAATAACCTGGTACAGGAAAGCCTGCATTATCTACATTGCCAGCTGAAGCACCAGATGGACAGATCCTGAATCCAAATAGATGACTCATCCATGCCACAATCAGCCCAATACCTGAGCTATTCTGGCCAAACATAGATGAAATGCACTATCCTTCACTGGATATACTACCAGGAAGCACATTACAAAATCAGGATCAGCAGTGGAATGCACCCAGTAATGTACAATCAGATGTGACCAAGATAATACAGAAGATAATGATGTCTGAAATCCTGGATTGCAATCCAAAGGGATCATTAACTGTGAATAATATAGCAGATGATCACTTGAATGCAAATCAAGATATCAGGGCACATTTGATGGTCATAGATGAAGGAGGGAATGCACAACAGATGGATCATTCAACACAAAATAAGCCACATCAGCCATGTTGACGACCTGCTAGGAAATCAACCACACAGCGTGAGTCCTTGCATTTAACCTTGTCTTGCATTTACTTTATTATTGGCATAGGCAAAAAAATTGAAGAAAATGGTTTCCAAGGATACAATAAATGCAATATCTGACCTTTCTGCTGAGGAAATTTCTTGTGAGTTCAGAATGATATTTATGCAATGGAAAACACTCATTCTTTCCTATTATAGCTTACACAATGGCCCAACCACTATTCTGGACATCCATATTGCACAACTGGAAAACACTTGCAACAAATGAGTGGCTTGTCACAACCATATCAAAATTTTATTTGTCTCATGTCTAGTATGATGATCTGGGAAAATCAAGCATGAGATATGTGGACCTATATACAGCGAGGGTGAATGAAATCACAAAAGAAGAAGTGGATCTCTTCAGAAGGAATTATTTTGTTCCTTCTGAGGGGGAAGGTCTAATCGTCCCTGTTGGATTTATAGTCCATCATTCTGATCATTTTTTTGCTGTAATTTTCGACTATCAGTGATCCACAGCACATGTCCTTGGTCACTATATTTCTGATTCTGCAATGAAAGTCAATGAGATTGATGATCCATACAACTGGAAGAATAGGCAAGGACCAGATTATTGAAGAAAAATTATATCTCTTCATGGCTGGAGCATAGGTGATGTTACTGAAATATCCATGATACCCAGGGATTGGATGCAAAATGGAGTGGACTGTGGTTCAATCACTTGCTCTATGCTGGAGCAATGTCTTACATCTGAATTAGATAAAAGTGGAGGTTTGCCAACATTTCAAGTCCAATGTGGCCACGGGTTGAGAATCCACATGTTGCATATTGTAGCAGGACGTATCAAGCTCAGCTGCAGCGACTATCTCATGCCGCTAGACAGCCAATGACACTATTGGAGTGAGGATGACTTTCCAGACAAGGATACCATCAATAACATTCAGAATGGATGTCATCAGTCTAAATGTTTGAAGCTCCTTCGTACCTTGACTGTTGTCAGTGCCTCCTGTTCAATGTGTCAGCATCCTGTACTATTATAGGATGGTAAATCCCTCTCACCTGGTTCTGAGGATCAAGACGAGACAATATTTGATGAGGAGGATTCAGAAGCTAATTTGAGTGATAATAAGGATTGCCTTGACATAGCCCTATTACAGGAGAGAAAGAAAAGTCTTGCAAAGCTATTAAAAGACTACAAACAGCTGAATGGATCCAGGAACTGTAATAACATTATCCCTCATGCAATTTGAACTCACCTGAAACTGGAAATAGAAATTTCACATCATGGCAATAATACAGATGACTCACAACACTCTGTCTCTGCATCAGCACCTTGCAGGAAAGTAAAAAAACTAGAATCTTGGAAGCAACAGAAGATTTCCACATCCTATTGTACCACTTCCTTTGGTTATATATTTGGGTAGAAGGTGGCTTCATAATGATCACACATTCGATGATTATGAGGATGGACCTACTATTGAGATGTTGAAAGCACAGAGGGACATAAATCCAACAACAATATTCCAGTCTGAGGCAATCCGGCTCTCTTCTGCTTGGATGGATTGGGTCAATCATGGATATCGCATCACACCTAGCTCATTTCATATGTTCTATCTATGTGACCCCATAGCCACCATGGATCACATCATACCTATTGGAACAACCAACTCCTATGATACTTCGAATCAGATTCCAGATCGAGTGACAGGTGCATACAGCCTTGCACGTCTCGGACCATCTCAAGACACACAGCACACGCATGTTACAGATGTGAAAATCCTCTCTGCTTCTGAACTAATAGAATCTGCGCAATATGATCCCCCCCTGTACAAGGAATGCAGGTTCGGACATAATTCCTTTGTCCGTGGCCGCACAAGCCATAGATATGGTGATGGACCTGCAATGTATGTCGACCTTGAAAGAGATGCAATAAAGTTTTCGGAGGATGAGATAGAGACCTCACTGGACATCGACAGTATCATTTGGACGACAAAGGTTTTCCGATGCAGAGGGTCTGTAGGGATTTATGTCACTCCGCCATTTCAAACCAAGCCTGGTATTTTCAAGCACAACCATGCATACGTCGACATAACAATTCCCCAGTCTGAAGAAGATGCTAATACTCCTGGTGGGCGAACGGAATGGCTATCAAAAAGATTTCCCATGTCTGCGATCCCTCACACCTGCATTGGGCGCATATCCTCTGCTTCCTCGACGCTCAATCTTTATATTGCCTTCCCTAGAATGATATACTATTATCTGGTAAATGGTCATAAAATAATATTAATGCCAAAGAAGGTGTTGGATATATTTTGGGATTGAGTGCTGCTGCCATCCATAGGAGACTACACTGACGTCAGCTGGGCTCCTTACCTTAAGCACACTTTGAAGGAGGCAAGATACAAGGCAAGAGGTAGAGATGGATGCAAAGGTGGATAAGGACCTCCAAAGACAATACCTCTCTCTGATGATGACTTTGGAAATGTGTAGGACCATATGGAAGCTTGTATACGTGATGGAGAGGGAGAGCTCAGCATGTATGGATTATTATTCTTCATTCTAGAGGGAAAGGGAATCAAGCTTCTTATGAAGGATGAACAGAGAGGGCAATTCTCAGGACCAGAAGAGGCTCTGCTTCACAATCTTCCCGACCTTAACTGGAAATATATGATGAATAGGAGACATGGAGAGTTACTGGTAGACATCAGCATCTCATTTACACCTCACTCTCCAGAAGTTCCAATATCGGTTTATGGAGATTAGATGCATTAGAGATATTATTTGGTGCAGGTGGATACAAGTGTGGTGAGATGCATCACCACGACATGCTCTCCAGATATGGTGCACTTCAGGCAGAGATGCAATAGGAGAGATCTCAGCAGACACACATTGCATTCAGGAGCACCTACAACCTGTACTATGAGTCCATCTGAACAAACAATAACCAAGCAAGCTTTGCTTCCTATAGCAATATATACAAACTATCCCCATCCTACATGGCTGAATGCTTTGATATAATAAAAGTGGTTGATGGCTGCAAGGAGAAGACTTATGGTGTCAGAGATGAGTATCAGGTCAGCGGACATGCAGCTAGAATCATGTTGGACAATATACAAAGCAGGGTCAGTAATCATTGGCACTGGAGCTCAATTACTCTGAAATAGCTGAAATGCAGGCTATTGAATATTTGCGATCTGATCTAATACTATGGATCCCATCCAAGATCTGGTTTGAGCTCATCTAATGAAAAATATGCAAGATTCAGAGGACCCAAATATATATTGTCAAAAAGAATCCTCCAAACCTTGGAATTCTAACTGGCGTGCTGAACCACATGCTGCGGTCAACTACATCCACCCCTATCATCTATAACTTCCATATCCATAAATCCCTTGCTCTTCTCAAATATAGAAATGTTCTCAAGATAACAGGGATTTTTTTCCTGTAGGTTTTCAATCTCAGCAGTAACACATACTTGGAGGAGGTGCAGCAAATCGATAATGTCCATGTACTGGCCCTCATGGGTGTAAATTCAAAAGCTCAAAAAGATAGAGCAGTTGCAAGACTAGTCACATGGAAGAGCTCTAAATCAGAGCTGGAGGATTACTCTTTGGGTCAGATGCCAACATGGGCACGCCTTAAGGCTGTCATTTCCAGTTTGCCTGGACTTATAATGAGGCCATGGACATGGTCTTCCATATTTTCCAATACTCAACTCTCTGTTGAATGTTTGGTCATTATGTTCACAAGACAGATATAGCTGATGCTGACTACTGAAGTCATAAAAGGAATCAGACCCTATCATAATTCACTTCATAAGACTATGAAGTGCTGGACAATCACTAGCATTGATGACACCCTCTCTTGCATCACTTTTGAAGCAGCAATACTGGGTTGCATGATAATACTAGTGTTACCCTAGGTCATATGGGTCCTAAGAAAATTCATGGACAGGTGCTCATTATTCTTTCTAAACCCTGATGCCCCACATAAAAGCAACATGCAGTGGTCTACACTATGGAAGCAAGATGGATATATCACAGAGTTTTATAGGATAATAGAGGTAATGGAGGAGGATCAGCGGTTATTGTTGAAGCAAGGTTTATGCGAGGTATGTTCCTACCTGCATTGTCTTCCTGCGAGTGGTGCACGAGTATGGATGCAAAAGAAAGATTCAATCATCTTCATCACAAATCCTTCATTTTATAGGATTGACTGCATTAGAAGGGGGGGAGAGAGTCAATGGAAGGCACTAAGAGCGCATCATACCATAAAGATTATTAAGGTAAAGTGCATATTTGCAACTTACAGCCATTTGATGCTGATGGGAATCTGAGAAGGAAGACAGAGAAGCAAAGTATTGAGAGATTCACAAAAAGATTACCATAGCCAAGAGAAACAAATGAGTACCTCCTCCACCACATCCTCACAAGTCCAGGCCATTTACAATAGGTGATTTAGGCCCTGTACCACAAAATGATAACATGGATGTAGATTAGCATATGTACAAGATATATATATACATCAGTGGATAGTTATGTGTGGTAGCCCAATCATCCAATCAAGATGTCCTTCTCATGTCAAAAGGTACTAATGAGATTGAAAGGTCTTTTTGCCATTTATAAAGCACAATTGTCCCTTAATTACAGAAAAAAGGGTATAGCTATTTTTTGACCACGTGGCTTCAGGATGCATGCCAATAAAAGTAATTATATATGTGGATTTCAACACAAGTAAACTCTGTATCTTTTGTTTTTGTAGCTTTCTTACCTCAGCTGCAACAAAATGATTATTTTGAAGGTTCTTTTCATACTTGGCTTTACTTTGCTTGATCTGTGCATTTTATTTTGTGCTATGGTATTGCTTGACTTCATGCATGAGCAAAGGTCAAAACTTGATTTGTAACATGGTATCGAATTAGCATTCTGATATTTTTGTGTACACTCACTTACTCTGTCTCTGTCAGAATATAGTGTGATGATTTTCTTACTTCCACAGTAGAGTGATTCTACCTCACACACTTTTGAAAGAATCATTTATTATTTACATTAGCAATAGATATACTCTCATATGAGGTGACAAATATGACTCCAACAGTGCAAAAATGCGAAAATGCTGGGCCTGTTATGAACAGGTTGACTCCCATGGAGAAGTAACACCCAGCAGAGAAGTTTGTAGGTAAAAAGTGCAAAAAAACAAAAGAAAACTGGGCTCGTTATCAACAGGTTGACATGTGACACCCAGCATATATGTTTATAGGTACAAAAGAGAGAACAAAGTGAAAAGAACTAGGCCTGTTATCAACAGGCTTACTCCCATTAAGGAGTGACACCCAGCAAAGAAGTTTGTAGGTGCAAAAGTGCAAAAAAAGTGAAAAGAATTGACTGGGCCTGTTATCAACAGGTTGACTTCCATTGAGAAGTGACACCCAGCAGAAAAGTTTCTAAGTAAAAAAAGATGCAAAAAAGCAAAAAAAAACTAGGCCTGTTATCAACAGGTTGACTCTCATTAAGAAGTAACACCCAGCAGAGAAATTTGTAGATAAAAAAGTGCAAAAAAGCAAAAAAAAAACACTGGGCCTGTTATCAACAGGTTGACTCCCATAGAGAAGTGACACCCAGCAGAGAATTTTGTAGATACAAAAGAGTGAAAAAACTGGGCCTATTATCAACAGGTTGACTCCCATTGAGAAGTAATACCCAGCACAGAAGTTTGTAGGTATGAAAGTGCAAAAAAGCGAAAATAAACTGGGCCTGTTATCAACAGGTTGACCCCCATTGAGGGGTGACACCTAGCAAAGAAGTGCAGAGGTAACAAAGTGCAAAAATGCAAAACTCAGATAGTGACAACAATGTAGTAAGTAAGTAAGTGGGGAGGAAGAAAGAAAGAGAAAAATTTTGGTTCATGTTAACCAGATTCATGCTTATATAAGCATTCCCACATACAATCTATCACATAAAAATTAACAAGGTAAGATCTGTGATTCATGTTGACCGCATTTTTGCCTATATGAGCATTGATATGTGCAGAGTGCAGAATAATACTTATAAATTCAAGAAATTAGATTTGTGACATGATCATTAGGCAGGTTACTGATGTTATCTAAGCCAATAAGTCTCAAACACTTCCAGAAGCAAAAATTAACTGGTCACCTTTATTAGAAATGCAACCACCATGCAGGAGTGAAGCCAAAAATGTGAAAGTTATTAGAATACAAAGTAGTTATTGGCCACCTCTATGAGATGACTGCATTTTTGCTTATATAAGCATTGCCATCTGCCTCCTCCCAAGATTGATTTTTCCAGCCTTCATATTAGTTACTGAAGCTCTGCTCAAACTTAATTTTGAGGTTATTGAATATTCTGAACATGATTGTAGAGTCATTTTTGCATCAAAAAATCAGATTCCAAAGTTAACCACCCCTATCTTGCAGCCTTCTCCAAATATCAATCTTTACAGCCTTCATATAACTTGCCTAGCTTCATCTATGATTTGATATTGTGGTTATTGAACTCTCTGAAGATGATTGTAGAGCCATTTTTGACAGAAAAAATCTGGTTCTTGAAATGCCCAGGGTCCCCCCCCTCTCCTCTTATTGTATATATCTTGATATTATGTAGATACTGATATACCAAGAATGTTTATGGTGTTTTAAGACCATAGGAAATGATTGTAGATAGTCCGAGAGTATTTCTGATATGTTTGAATCAAAATATGCTAGTTTACTTCATATCCTCCAAAAGGTCAATATTGACAGTCTTCCCATGACTTGCCAGGACTCCAAAACCATTTTTTATGAAAGTTGTTGAACCCTCTGGACATGATGGTAGAGCCCTACTTGTCTGAAAAAATCCCATTGTTATGACATGCAAAATCTCCATCCCTCCCTACCTGACACATTTTGCTCTGCTTGAATTTAACTCAAACCTGATACTGTAAAGACCTTTTCCAGGGTTGTTCAAATCAAAAAAAAAATTACCAAGCTGATTGATTCAGCAGCAACAGAAATATTTGATCTATCAAGTCTTGTTCTTAGATTCTAAGTGTGCTCAAGTTTATCACTTCGCTTATGTAAGCAGTGTCACCCCTGTCATGCTGCCTCACCCAATGATTGATTTTTTCAGCCTTCATTTTACTTACCTGGTCTCGAATAGAACTTGATCCAGAGGTTATTGACTAATCTGAATCTGATGGCAATGCTGATTTTGTCCAAAAAAATCACATTTAGAGTCATGGTACCCCCTCCCCCTAGCTACTCCACCAAGAGGCATGATTTTATGTCAATACTGATATACTAAAGGATGTTTCAAGTGTTGAATGATAGTACAAATAAATTGGAGATGGTTTTGGAGTGTTATAAACCAATATGAAATGTGATTTGTGAGTTTGCCTGATACCCTCCCTCAAAGATCAATTTTTCTAGGCTTCACATGACTTGCCAGGACTCCAAAAGTATTTTTCCTGGGGGCTCTGGATACCTCTGAACACGATGGTAAAGCCAGATTTGTTAGGAAAAATTAGGTTGTGGAGATATGTAGGGTCCTCCTTCCCCCTCCTAACTCATATATCTTGCTATTATGTAAATATCGGTATATAAATGGGTGTTCCTACTGTTGTATAATCATATAAATTGATTGGAAATGGTCTCAGAGTGCTTTGAGCCCATCCTGATTAAGATATGTGAGTTTTCATGGTACCCCCCTCAAAGATTAATTTTTCTAGGCTTCACATGACTTGCCAGGACTCCAAAAATATTCTAGTGC